TATATCGCGGTTAGCAACCACAACATATATATATATATATATATACACACACACACAAACAACACATGACATGCATACATACGATATCAACACATAAAAATATGTACATATAACACATAAAAATGAGAAAATAGGAAAAATAGAAAAATCCCTCGCTGATCCCTCGCAAATCAGCGAGGGATCAGCGATGGAAATGACAAAAATTCACATTCCCTCGCTGATCCCTCGCTGATTTGATAGGGATCAGCGAGGGAATGAGTTTTTTGGAATTTCCCTCGCTGATCAGCGAGGGATCAGCGAAGGAATATTTCCCTCGTAGATCAGCGAGGGAATGTGTTTTTTGTCACTTCCCTCGCTGATCCCTCGCTGATCTGCGAGGGAAAATTTCCCTCGCTGATAGTCGTCGCTGATACCTGGTTTTCTAGTAGTGATTTCTTCAAAAAAAAAATTCAATCTCAATTCTACTTTACCTGGTTATCTGATTTTATAGCCACGCAAATGTTGATGGGGTTGTGATCCAGGGGATCTTTCGTGTTTCCTGGGCAGTTATTTCTAAGTCGGCTGACTTCTTTACCGAGGCGGATCAAGATAGAATGAGCCCTAGAAACACAATGAAGAAAAACGGCCCCCAAAGATCCCAATCTCGCAAAGCTTTCCCCGGATCCTCAGGAAACGGATTCGGAAAAACAACTAACTTCAAATTACTAACAATCCTCGAATCTCGTTTCACCGAATCCCACACGGGTTCAGTCACCGTGTTGGGGGCGACCCGAAACCAGTCATGTCGGACTGTTAGCATTAGCAGGCAGTGGTGGTGCGGCAAGGACAAAAGGCGGTGGAGGTGGGCGGCGATTATTGATGGAGAAGAAAAAAGGGAAAACATAACTGAAGGTTTAAGGTGGAAGACTGAAGGTTTAAGGTTGGAATGGTTAAAAAAAAGAAAAAAATGAGAAAAAAGGAAGGTAGGAATCTTGGTAGGAGATGATGACACGTCAACCATCCAAGTTTCTGTTTTATATAGATATATAGATGGTTATTAGGATGCTCATGTAACCATTTTTGTACTTGTGAAAGTTTTATAAATGATGTTCGTAACTTTAGTAAACCACAAGGACCAAAATTGTAGTTTACACTTTTCTTCTTAGCAAAAAAGGGACCATATCTTGTTACACGCGAGAGAAACTTGGGCGGGAGACCTGCAGCTTGAGGCTCACGCTTCCTTAAAATCAATGCGTCATTCTTGATAGAGAAAAAAAAAATGCATTTCTAGAGAGAACAGAAAACTGTGTTCAAAAATGGTGAAATTCAAGTTGTGTATCCACGCAGAGCTCGTAAACCTCACCAACTTTCAGCCTCAAGGCGGTTGCAGTGATCCTGACTTCACCTACTACTTTAAGGTTTATCGATTTCTTCTCATTTTTCATACAAACACAAGCACATACTGGAATTTATTCGATGATTTTATGACGCATTATCGTTTCCGTTTTACTTTCTTTGAGTTTAGGGCAGAGATCATGGAGTTATTTTTGTTGTTTGTCTGTGTGTGGTTGCGTATATGTAATGTGTTTGTTCCTTGTCGTTGAGGTTCTAATTACTCCGATAATCTATCATGTATAATCGTTTATTGTTTAGTTACTGTTAGGCTTCTTACTGCTGTTTGTTGTTTTTCATTGCGTGCCTTCACTGAATACTAGCATTTTCGTTGTATTTGTCTGTATATTTACTGAATCGACATGCTACTTTGGAAATTTGTCTATGTTTGGTGTGTGTGTGTGTGTGTGTGTTAGGTAACCACTGATCAGGTTCCAATTGTTGGTTCTTAGTTCTTTTTACTGTACTCTGAGCTCATGATAGGAATGAACTATTAAAGTTATATTTAAGGAATTGTTTTAGGAATGAACAGAAAATATCAATTCTACCTACACATGCGATAGAAATATTCAAGGATACAAATAATCATAGATGAAATTGAATTCACAGATAGTTCACGTTCTTGTATCGGTATTTGTTTCCAGAGAATAACAGACTATGGATTGTTTCTAATCCTCTGGCACTTTGGCTCAGATGTATGTATTTTTGACTCTGGGTAGCATCAGTGCATGTAAATGTGTGAAGTTGAAGGCATCCTCTTTTTTATTCATTATACCTGAATATTTACACTAAAGCATGTTTATCACATCGCGTCTTTAGGTAGGCAATGTTCTTATTTTATTGCTCAAATCATTTTTAATTTCCTCTATTCCTTGTTTAGCTATTTCAGTCGGTTTATTTCTCAAGTCAGGTCGTATGACCCTACGTACCAATAAATGCATGTTACCAAATATGCTTTAGTGGATATACCTACATTATACATTAATGTATGTACAATTGTTATTCTTTCTGTATCCCACATTGCTTCTCCTTTCTGTATTCCAATGCCCGTCTATCTCTTTGCCATGCACAATAAGGTGTTACCTATGGTTGGTATTACCGGCTCCTGTTTAAAGTTCTTATGGTATTCGCCATTTCCAAATATGTATTCAGTCTTTCCAAATCTGATTAAACTTGACCTTAAAAAAAGAATGATGATGGCACGCTAACTAGTCAATCATTATAATCTCACATGTTAACAAGGTTTCTGCCATTTTTACAGGCCAGTGGTAACTGCATAAACTACCGTTCACGTGATTATCTTATAGTGGTTACTAAATCACATTTACTTATTTTCCATAGTTGAAATGTAACGAATGTCAAGAGGTAACCAAGAAAGGGATCTGTGTGAGCCTGAATGAGACAGTTCCTCTCTCAAGAAGGCGTACCACCAATCTTATCAAAAAGGTTATCATCTCATCATCATCTCTCTCTCTCTCTCTCTCTCTCTCTCTCTCTATATATATATATATATATATAACGAAAATATATGCATATCTGCATTTATAATTACAAACATTAAACGGGTTATATGTTTCGACCTTGCAGTCAATAGTCCATTCATCCTAATAGGAATCCATACAAGTGTCAATGGAGTTTTTAGCTTTGAAATTGGCAGAATTTATGGTTCAAGCTGAAAAATTGATAACCATATGGAATTAAATAAGTACTACAATAACATACTGAAGTTACAAAATTAAAAATATTTTGGTCATAAATTAACTCTAGCCTGTTTGGAGGCCATAGTTGCCAAAGAGAATGCTCAGCGTCTATGTATAGTAGTTGCACAACCTGTGCACTGGATGGGGCAAAATTATTGTAATCAATTTTCTTTTTAAATGCATGATTTTTTCTTCTTATTGGTTAAATATTATCTTCTAATGCTTAGAATGATCTCAGTTCAGAATATATACTCTTATTTAGAATTCTATAGCAGCTACACTTGGACCTATCATCCTCAATATATTCAAGGGATTTTTTGGGGAGTTATGTAATAAGATTCCACAATTTCTCACATGTTATCACAATCAATATCTACCATGCTTCATACTCCACACTCTTTTACAACTTTTGCCCCTCTAGCCCCCTCTAGACACTTTGGGACGATCTATGTATGTCTAGCCCATGTTAACGTTAGAATCCTACATTGGCAAGATATGGACATGTTTTCAATATATGTTGGAAACCCCTTCTCACATCAAAGGCCTTTTTGGATCTTTTAGAGAGCAATTTAATGGGTTTTACATTTTCTCACATTTTTCTTGCACTTTAACTATATGATAATTGTGCAAACACAAACCTAAAATGATTGTTCACTTTCAAAATTAAGTGCTTACTTTCCAATTCTATCCATAACTATGAGATGGAGAAATTCAAGGATAAATATGTCAAAGTTAGTCAATTAAAAAGTGTAATAATTACATATTTGTTGAACTTTTTGCATTTTAGACTGTGGACATTTATTTTGGGACGGAGAATAATACAATTTGTGTACACGTTTTGTGTTGTATCAGTGTAAGTTTTGTAGAAGGGTAGGAACAATGACTATGATTCCTGGCCTAGGCATCCCCCTTACTAACACCGCAAGTGAGAATGGGCACTACGGTTGTTTGATGGTATTCGACTGCCAGGGTATTGAACCATCGGATTTTGCATTCGACAGAGGCTGGAAAGCCGAAACTGTAAGTCTTAGTTAGATAAGAAAATTAAGATAGATAAAAACATCATTCTACCTTGAAACTTCTTTTATTATATACTCTAACAAAAAGTTCATATGTCATAATCGTATATCACATACATTATTTTCGTCTCGTTTTAATCAAGTTACTTAACATACATCATCAACCATTGACGATGGTTAAACTAGATGAAGGTTTTTGATGTGATTGTGTATAGATATATGAAGGATAAATCTTTAGATATGAAATATAATTTAAAAAAGATTGAAGGTACAATAATGCATTTGTAGAGTTTGCTTTTTGTAATCCATATTTTAGCTTTTATTAGTTAACTATTTCAACACCATACATACAGGGGTTAAATCAAATGAAAATCATAAATATGTTACAAACTTATGAGAATCGGTATAAAATATTTTTTTACATGATATTTTTTCATCAAATGCTAGAATTTAAAATATTGTTTCACATATATTTGTTTCACCATGTGAATATTTTATACGTGTATTTTTCATTTCATAAGTGAACCAAATTTTTTTCACAAGGTGAACACAAACATATGTGAAACAATATTTTAAAAATCATAGGTTTTGATGAAAAAAAAATCATGTAAAAAATATTTGTATATCAATTCTCACGGGTTTGTGCCATATTTGTGTCTCTCGTTTGATTATCGTCTTAGGGTTGGGTTTCAGTGAGAAGAGGAGTTACGATGAGAAGCGTAAGAAGAGATCTCCACCATTGGATCAATCCTAATTGAATGTCAACACTAATGAGGTTTACCATGATGCACCCGATCAATTTCTTTCTAAAACACAATTCATAGGTGGGCATGAGATTAAAAGTGATCAAAGGATTCACATCTCTTCTTATGCTTCTCACATTAACTCTCTTTCTCACACTAAATTTCGCTTATCGTCCTATATATACATACACACACCCACATATATGTGTGTGTGTGTGTATATATATATATATATAGGGTCAGGTTCATGTGAAAATCGTAAAAAAAATGAAAAACTAAAAAACATCTTGGTAACCGTTCATATAAATGATATGCAATTCAATACCATGCTTTTATACAATGATATTTCCGATCCATCCATTTGGGCCATTTTCATGTTAGTTTTCACAACATGAAAATGAAATGGAGGAAACGTGATCCTTTTTTGCATCTTTATTATCTTCCCCTGCATTAAATTTGGTCACAAATACTTTTACAAAAATAAATGGTGGTAGATTTATAGTTATCCATTTTCTTTTTGAAATGATTATTGTAGTCATTCAAAACAATGTCATTTTTTTTTATGTAATTTAACTCTAAAATGAATATTGTTTAGATTGAAGGGGCCAACATATATGAAGATGTTGACTTTTCAAAGGGAGACTTTGCCGAATATTATGAGGATGGATGGTATCCAGTCATGATATACGATGTAGATTCTATGTTCAAGGTGGTTAAGCGGAAATACAAAAGATGTGGATAAACTAACTCGGTAGTAGTAGTAACACTACTAGAAAACCAGGTATCAGCGACGAACATCAGCGAGGGAAAACATCCCTCGCAGATCAGCGAGGGATTAGCGAGGAAAATCCCTCGCTGATCCCTCGCAGAATTGCCAAAAAACTAATTCCCTCGTTGATCCCTCGCAGATCTGCGAGGGATCAGCGAGAGAATCTGACTTTTACCAATTCCCTCGCTGATCTGCGAGGGATCAGCGAGGGATTTTGCCGAAGAAACCCTATTTTCTCATTTTTATGTGTTATATGTACATATTTTTATGTGTCGATGTCATTTGTATGCATGTACATGTGTCGCTGAAAGTTCCCTCGCAAATCCGTCGCTGAATATCTCTCGCAAATCCGTCGTTGAAAGATCCCTCGCAAATCCGTCGCTGAAAGTTTCCTCGCAAATCCGTCGCTAAAAGATCCCTCGCAAATCCGTCGCTAAATATTTCCCTCGCTGATCCGTCGCTAAATATTTCCCTCGCTGATCCGTCCCTGAAAGATCCCTCGCAGATCCCTCGCTGATCCGTCGCTAAATATTTTCCTCGTTGATCCGTCGCTGAAAGTGTCCGTCGCAAATCCGTCGCTGATAGCATTACCTATGACTGTTTGACCGACGGAGTATCAGCGACGGATTTGCGAGGGAATTTTCCCTCGCTGATACTCTTCATTCTTGTAGTGTAATTCAATCGAAAGTTGGTACATTTTGGTAGTAACTCAAGGAATAATACATCGTGTGGTTACAGAAAGGGTATTGTTTGTTTTTTTGAGATCATCATTGGCTAGTGTTTGGAGGCTTTTTACCAAACTAGTCATGTATAGCAAGAAAAATGATGAGAGGGAAGAGTTTTAAAGAAATAGTCTTGAATTCCACTAAGTTAACTAGCCAATTGGTAGAACCCACTTTTAATTAGTTGGTGGACGAAATCAATAGAAAAGTCAAATAGTTCATGTATCTCGAAAATTAGAAATTTTGCCAATTTCTGGGAAATTTGATGAAATCCACATGCCGAACACATGGTTTGTTGGCGAAATTAGAAATGGGTCCCACGTGGTTGGTTGGTGAAATTCGAGATGATCCCACGCCTCAAGTTGGTGGAATTCGTCAATTAGCGGAATTACTTCGGCTGAATTCATGATTATTTCCTTTAAATCCTTTTCAAAAAAAGTAGCCAACTCCCCCTTCCTCTTCTCTCTCTCTCTCTCTCTCTATAAATGGCAAGTTTGGTAAAAAAAACCAATCTAGTATTTGGGGTCACGACTCACCTTGAGGAGTAGATCAACTGTTAAGACTTTGGGTTCTCTTTCTTGAGGCTATTAGTTCAAGTTCCGTCAGAAGGATTTGTCTTCTTGTTAATTTCAAGTTCTTGATATACATGCAAGATGACATAGATACCCATCAAGCAAAAACGGTTGGACCTAATTGCATTAATACAAATGAGAGGAACATGTGCTTTGATACGAGGGTCTTGTAAAGAAGATGTTATATTAACTTTTGATATCGATATTATTCAACATTTTATCATTAAGGTAGGTTTCGGTTCTTGATCAATATTTCTTTTTTTAGAATCCAATGTTTTTATTACTACTTAGGATATCACACTTTAATTATGTATTGAAGGAATACATAACCCAACCTATATAGAGATGAATTACAATATAAATTAACAAAAAGAAAGACCAATTAATTGCCCACTCTTTCTCAAAAATGAACGTCAGTATTTCCATTTTACTTTGTCCCAATATAAATATTCTTAGTTAAAAATTATTATTAAGGATAAAATTATCATATCATTTAATTAATTAAAAAAAATAAGATAATTATACAATTTTAAAATTGTGTGTCTTTTTCATTTATGGAATCTATTTTGGGACAGATTAAGCATTTGTCTTCATGGAATTGTGTTGCTTTTGTCTTGCAATTGATGTTCGATCCCGAATAGGCATGATAATGAGACACGTCCCGTCCCATATATTAAGTATATTATTTTAAAGAATCACATTTACTATCTTTAAGATTTAAAAATAGTATTTTAACCCTTGTTCTTATATACATGTTTTTGATTTGTCTTACTTTTTTAGAAGAAAAAAAACATGGAGAGCTGAAGATCGAGTCCGAGACAAGCGGACCTTATTTTAACAGCCAGAACAGGACGAGGTGGTACTTGTGATATTTCGGCTTGGGACGCATTTTATTGCGAAAGAGTTAGATCAAACAATTATATATGATGTTGTAATTTTGTTCATATGAATATTTGATATTCTATAAAAGCAAAATTATAGAAATATATGATATTTAAACATGGACCATTTTGAATCGGGTGTGGTGTTTAAAACACTTAATTTAAAATCTCTCACATAAACAGAAAAAAGAATCCCCGATTCCTTGTCAAAAATCCCCGTTCCATGTTGGGAACGAGGATAAGGATGTGATCATCTTCCCCAACAAGGATACGGACGAGATGGGGACAAAGATTGAGGATCGGGAATAGGGATTATGCTCCCCTCCCTATTCTCATGCCTATTCCCGAAGAGAAGGAAGAGATCTTCGAAAAGTGGGTTTTTATGATCAAATCAAGAATCAAACTTATTTAAACGTTCTTGTTATTCTCTATTTCTTTAAGAAATGTGTTCAACCTAGATGAACTGTTAAGAATATTTAAAAAAACAGAGGTTTATAAAGAAATTTGCTTAAATCAAGAGAATTCAATTAAATTAAGTAAATAAAAACTAATGGGGCGTTTAGTTCGTAGAATGAAATTCGATGGAATTGGAATTCATCAAATGAATTTGACTTTGAGGGAATGAAATGGAATTTGATGGAATTTGACCATGTCTTTTGATTGTGTTTGGTTGGATGGAATTGAAATGGAATTCTTAACGGAATTGGAATTTTTTTTGTTTCTTTCACGGAATTCAACGAGAAAATTACATGAAAAAAAAACCGAATCGATGGTGAAAACCGAAAAACGAAACTTTCGGGCTGGGTTCGGGGACATCTTATCGGGGACGGGACAGGGATCGGGGACAAATTTCGGTGATTTTAACAGGGACGAGGGTGGGGACGGTGATCATCGGCCTGGCCCGACCTGATATGTGTATATATATATTAATTTTAATTTATATACATATATATATATATATATACATATATATATATATATTATATATATAATATCATTAAAAGAAAATAGTAACATTAAAATTTAAAAAACTTTTATCCACTTTACTTCAACAACCCAAATAAGGCTCACGAAAAAGTATAGTTTATTTGTCTAATTGTGAAATCGTGATTTTAGTTGTATGATGTTTGAAGTTTTATTTTGTTTTATATTGTAATCTAATACATTGTTTGTAATTGGTTCGATTATATTTGAGACATTTAAACTTGTATCTTTAAAAAAAAATTGTAATTTACTTTTAATTGTGAAAATTAACATATTGTGATTTTTTTAGATCTGTTTTGGTTTCGGGTTCGGTTACAACCAACGGTGAACGGAAAAAAGAGGATTTTTATCTTAACGGGTTCGCCAACGGGGATCGGGGAAACCGCGGGGACCCGATGAGGATCCCCGATAAGATCCCCGACGGGGATCGGGGCAGTCACGGGGACGGTTTTAGTTATCGGTTTCTGGGACGGGGATACCAACAACTGGCCCGAACCTGGCCCATTGCCATTCTTAGTTTTAAACGAGATCGAGCAAAGGAGATCGAGCATAGCAGAACAGAGCAAATCGAGATACAGTGTCGATGAATGGATGAGGCTAAGGAATTTGTTGGATTGAAATTTGAAATCCGTGGTATATGCGGTGGAATTGTGAAATCAATGAATTAAGGAATTTGTTGGAATTGGAAGGATTTCTTCACATCTATTATGTGAACCAAACATGACATTTGGAATTTGGTCAAAGATTTGGACATTCCAATTCCACCAAATTCCATTAACCAAACACCCCCTAAGGGTAGAATAATAATTTTCACATAATTTTGGATATCTTTTATTACAGTGTTTCTTTTCCTTCTTTTTTTGCTCTATTCATATCTATTTATCATTACTTTTACAATATTTTTTGATAGATCCTCATAAAATACTTGCAATCAGACGGTTTCCATTCGAACTCTAATACCAGCTAAAAAACAAGGAATCGAAGTTCTTTATTCGACTTATATTGATTCAATACACAATTCATTACATAAATCCTTTTTCTACTTCTTTTTTATTTATTGAAAATTAGTATATACACAAGTCATTTTTTTTTACTGTTGTTTCAATATCAGTTCTTGTAATTCTTTTAATGTATTTTTTTCTTAACCTTTATATTGACAGCATTATATCGAACAAATATAATTCATCATGATAAGCAACTTTATTTATTTTTGTCATAGGCTTTATTTTTTTTTACCTTAGTTGATTCAAATAATGGGTTCATCGGATTAACTTTGATACCCGAATTTTTGATTGAAAAAGTAGATAACATAGAAATAAGGATGGTCTAGCATATTTTACATTTCTTTATTTTTTTGATAGGGAAATTTTTTTAACCGTCCATATCGGAAATAAGATTGAGTATAGAAACGAGCCATAACACATGGTTTCATAAAGCCACACGATTTTCTCAATCTAAATAAAACAGGTTTTATATGAAGAAGATTTGGCTCAACATGTTCTATGTACGGGTTGAAGTAGAACCTGACACGGTATTATTAAAAAAAAAATAGAGAAGCAGAAATTTACATGGTACAATGCTTTTGAAGTGACCAACTGTGAATTATTTTATAATAACTATGCTTTACCTATTTCTTCACAATGTATTTTATGTTTTCAATGTAATTTAATAGGATTCTATAACATATACAAAAATTAACTTCCAAACGGATGAAAAAAAGACTATACAAGAAGAATGACCAAGAAACTGAGAGCTACCTGGATGCCTTTTTCAATCCAACAAAACCAAACACGACTTTGAATCTTCAATAGAAAGCTAGTACATTCACATTCACAATCGCGTATGCAATTTCAGGTACGAAACAATGCTATTTCATTTATCTCTCATGGATTCAACGATTTCGTTTCAGTATTTGATGAATACTTGTAGGGCTTTTCTTTGTGTGTTCTGTTACCATATGAACTCGGATGTTGATTCTATGATGTTGAAACCATTCTTGTCTCATCTATTTGCTTCTGCATTGTGCTTCCGAACACAAGCGTAGTAAAGCTCTGTTAAGCTCTTCAAATCAATTCAAGTGACAGCACACAAATTCATTTTCATACATAAAACACTACACTAATTCAACTAATTATAGGTGAAAGAAGTGTGGCCATAAGGGAAATTTTGCAAATATGATCCCATACAATGTTCTTGCAACTGCCACGTTCCTCTCTTGTTTCATTTGTCTCCTACATATTATAAGGAAAAGTAATAGAAAAATAAACTATTTTGATCCCTTATTGGCTATGAGACCTGTGGCTACAAGCCTGCTTTAATCAGTATGTTTCTCTTCTTCCTTAGAGCTTAAAAACAGTTGTTCAATTCATAGTGCTAGTGAAAAAGCTTAATGTTGTTCATTTATGGAAAAATAAATCTTATAGTGTATGTTAATTGTTAAACGCTGGTTAGAACTGTGATCGTAGGATGAAATTTTTGGAGGTGATATAATTTGATGTGAGATGATATGAACGTCCGTGCTCCTTTTCACAGTTTAGTACTTCGCCAGTCCAACATACCCACCAGGTAATTTCACTGTGACACTTATCGGCTGAATTTGGTTAACTATGTGTCATACTGAATGCATTGCTATATTGGGTTTTCTTCTTCTGTTTCTATCACAGGAATAATGCTGTTGTTGGTGCTGACAATTTTGCAATTGAAAGTCATAGTATAAGCTACTCTATTAACACGGAAAAGGGAAAATTGATTCCAATTTTAAAGGATTGTTCCCTGGAAATCCCTTCTGGGCAGTTTTGGATGCTGCTTGGACCTAATGGATGCGGGAAGTCAACACTTTTGAAGGTATTCTTTCCAGATAGCATCTGATGTGTTAATCTCTTTAACCAACTTTTCAGACATTTGACATTGCGAAGTTAAACAGTAGTGTCAGTATTCAAGTAAAATATTCCCAGTTACTAATTTGTACATGGATTGAATTACTTTTGTAATCATCGTAGACATTTTGCATCAAAACAACCTTTCCATTCCGAAAAATCGCAAATGAGTTTTGTGCTTGAAAATACTAAAAAATTATCAAATCACTTTATTGCTGAAATGGAGAAGAGTCTATGTCAAGTGCCAATTCCGTAAGTACTAAGTTTGATTCACAACTACATTAATAAACTCATACTTCCTTATGTTTATGTGACATGAGCATAAATTCTAGTGGTTATACAATGATAGAGTGTTCAATGATGGTGTGATGATGGTTATGGTTAGGTGAAATATTTAATCTTAAATTTTTCTCAGTTCCTCTAATCTCAAAGAAAAGAGAAACATGAAGTCTTTTTTATCCTTGTAATGGTGGCTACCATTTATCAATCTTTTAATGAGCTGTTGACATGAAAAGTTACAGTGGTATTTATTTTTGGGACCAAATGAGACTATTATTGATATCTGAACTGTAATTCATGATATATTGTTGCAAAGGGTAGGTTCTGTTAGATTGAGGTTTTTTTTTTTTTTTTTTTTGTTAATTATAAGCAGATCTTGGCAGGTCTGCTAAGTCCAACGGATGGTCGTGTGCATGTGAGGAAACCTAGAAGTTATGTCTTCCAAAACCCAGATCACCAAGTAGGTTTTACTTCTTTTTATCCTTGGATACACTTTCTCCTTAATTATATGTGAAATGGTTCATTTGAGATTATATATATTCATGATTTTGATGACCATGAATTAGGTGGTCATGCCTACTCTAGAAGCAGATGTGGCCTTTGGCCTTGGGCGATTCAACCTGACAAATGATGAGAAAAAACTGAGAGTAGCAAAAGCATTGACCGCTGTGGGAATGTATGATTATTTGCAGGTATGAAACGATTGTTAATTGTCTGTTACAAAGAATTTATAATTTTGTTTGATTAACCCCGATATCCAACCCGCTATGATAGCCGACTAATCCCAGGGCGACCACCTGGTTTGCGGGTAGTCTAGAGTCACCGCATTTGAACCTCCGTGGCCACAAGGGAATTTTTATTCCTCCTTGGATTTGAACCTGGGACCTCCAGACACTTTTGACCTTTGGAGCCCAAGCTCAAACCAATCAGGCACCACCCTTGTGGTTAAGAATTTATAGCTTTTGGTTAACAATGTTACAAAAAGCAGATTAAATGGCCTCCTAGGCGGTGGCAGGGGGTAACCTGCCTTGATTTCCTCATAATCGGCCAAAAAAACGTTAAAAAGATTATGCAAAAATAGGCGGGAATAAGTGTACCAGGAAGGCTGAGGTGTTTGATTAGTGCAAAATACCAGGAGAAGAAAAGGCAACTATATATTTAGTTTTTCATAATGGTTACAACTTACAACTGTTCTAACACAGCTTTATATGCTGGTGAGAGCCAATGACGGATGACCACTTGACCACACAATGCTTGCTGCTTCCTTAACTTTTTTTAATGTAAAAGATGTTGATAATGATATTCACTACTTGGTAATTACTTAGTTAATGTTGACAAGTCTTTTTTTCAACAAATTGTATTTTCTTTACAATAAGATTTGGATCGATCAACTAATTAAGCACTACTCACACGTTCTACTCCTAGTGCCTTTTAAACTACATTTGTACTTAAAAATACAACCATTACCTAATTGTCAGAGACCAGTACAAACACTTAGTGGGGGTCAAAAACAAAGGGTTGCAATTGCCGGTGCTTTAGTCGAAGAATGTAAACTATTGTTACTAGATGAACTCACGACGTTCTTGGATGAAAGCGATCAGGTACATCTTGCTTTTCAACCTCTCTGTTTCTTTTAAAGTATTGTTTAATTTGTTTTACGCTTTTAAAACAGACATTCAAAGTTTATGCCGGGCAAATAGCTACTCCCTTCGTCCCAAAGTAAATGTCTACAATGAAAAAGGCACACAGTCGTAGAAGTGTGTAATTATTACAATATTTTAGTTAACTAAATGACAACTTTACCCTTAATAATTGAGAGATTAATGAATTTCTTCATCTCATAATTAAGGGTAAAATTGGAACGCAGCAACCGACTAATTCACTAGGAAACATACAAGTCCATGCATGCTTGTTAGATGGGGAATGAGATGATTGCAGACAATTAGTAATTTATGCATAATAAACATTAAGATATCAGTTGCTCCTTTTCAACTCATTGGTGATTTAAGATTCATTTTTAGTTTATCTGGGTGAAGAAAATATTCATTAGAATTGTACAAATTTGACATAGGAAGGTCATCACTTAGATTATAGTCTAAAATCTATTCATCTTATAGATTCAATCGAGTATTTTTCTGCTCATTTAAATTGATGGAGGGCTTTGAGTTCTCCACATGTTATTTTGTTTAAAAAATCCTTCTTTCCTCTCCTATTTTCCATGCTTTCTGCATCTTGATCGTTATCGTTTATTTATTCTGAAACTCTCTCTTTCCCTTGCGCTGTTCATATCAGTTTCATGGACATGCGAAATAAGATCCCATCCTAGAAGCTACACATTATCCAAATTGTTCTTATTATATATCTTTTTGAACTTTGATCTTAATTGTTTGTTATTCATTCATGTATCCTTTAGGCTGCCTTTGGTAAATGATAGTTGGGACAGACAGGACAAAAACTCAGTGTTCCACGTTTGGCGCAACATGGGACTAGGACGGAGTAGGACAAAAAAGGTTTTTTTTTGTTCCACCAAAAGGGAGAACAAAAAGCACAAGAATGGGGCAAAACTAAAAAGTTACTAGTCTACCCTCATTTGATATAACCTTAATATGTATTTGGTTTAATGGTCCCCACCCCTGCCACCTCGAGTTCAATCTTGTACTCCTATCATGTCTAGTTCTGTCCTATCTGCTTACCAAACGCCACCTTAAAGTTATTATTTGTTTAAGGATCCAATTTTGATCAGGTCGGGGTGATTAAAGCCGTGAAGAACACATTGAGTAGTTCTGCAGATGTGAGTGCGTTATGGGTAACACACCGATTGGAAGAATTGGAGTACGCAGATGGTGCTGTATATATGGAAGATGGGAGAGTTGTTATGCATGGTGAAGCATCCAGCATAATGGATTCTATTGAAGCTAGGAAAGCCTCTTATACCAACACTCTTAACTCCTCATAACCATCACTACATTCTGAAATGTGTTCTTTTCATATAAAACAAAGGTATTATTTTTATTCCTTTTATTTATAATTGTGGTGTTTCGGTCAGCTTAGGTGCACCTCGACTAATCTCATGGCCCTGAAGTTAATAGCAACTCAGTGGGGACCACTCGAACCTGTGACTAGTGAGGAGCAAACCCAAGCTATGCATATGTTTTAGCTTTGATTGTTAAAGTTGTTTTTGACAAGTATATATAATATTTATACATAGCAAATTAAACTCATGGACAGACTTCTCGTTTCTGGTAAAACTTGAACCTTTGGCCTTTTGATTTTGTTAGTTTTCTTAAGGTGCGATGGAATGCATATCTAATGGATGTTGAGGATGCAATGTAGCAAGGGTGCCCCATGCACCTATGCTCGAAGCGGGTGCATTTGCATATATTGTATCTTGTTGGATTGGAACAAAGGTGTTAACCGGCCAAATCTAGTCGAGTAGTAGGTTATTTAAGCTTGGCCTAGGAAAATAATTTCATGGTCGAGCTTGAGTAACTTATTAGTATGCTCGAACTCGAGATCGTTTAACTTAGTTTACCGGTTGAAGATTGATAATCTTTAGTATTTTGATTATATGATTTATGAACATGTTAACTTGAAAAAGTGCATGCTCGTATGGTTGGACTTGACTCGAAAACATTAGTCAAGCTTTAGAACGAGCCGAGTCGAAGATTGATATTATTGAACTTGACCCGTTAAGCCATGCAGGTTTGAGATATCTATTGCAAATTTCTCCTCTATGTTTGCAAAATCCAACAGTTTTTATGCCTTACATTAACATCGTTAAATTATCCTGCTAACTCCTTTTAAATGAGGAGAATTTTGGTTGTTCTGCATTCCCTCTCTTTTAAATAAGAAACTAATGTTATACTCTCTCTCTCTCTCTCTCTCTCTCTCTATATATATATATATATATATATATATATATGGAGGTTCAAACGAGAACACTTTCAATTTATGAGAACGCGAGAACATTTTTATCACATGTGATAATACACTTGAGTAGACCTGGTGGTGTATGGATGTCGTGCCTAAGTCGCACCAAAAGTCGTTTGCGTCTATGATTTAGTATCACATGTGATGGTCTTGATGAATTATAGTATCACATTAATAATACATTTATCACATGTGATAATACATGTGAGGGGATTTAGTAGTGTAAGGGCGACTTGGCCTACAACCTAGATTTCGTCAAAAGTCGTCCACGTCTCTAATTTAGTATCACATGTGTATCATATGTATTGGAATGATAGTATCGCATGTGATTGTTTATGGTAAAAGAGTGTTCTTGCGTTCTCGTAAAATGAAGGTATTCTCGTTTGAACTCTTCCCAATATATATATATATATATATATATATATATATATATATATGTGTGTGTGTGTGTGTGTGCTTGGATTCCGGTGACAAGTGTTAGAAGATATCTCTACTCTTGGATTAATTATAATTGAATGTCAACACTAATAAGTTGTACCGGAATAATTCATTTCCAAAGCGCAATTCATAAGTGGACATGAGATTAAAAGTGATCAATAGTTCAAATCTCTTCTTACGTTTCTCATCATAGCTTCACTTCTCATATGATCCTTCGCCTATATATATACATATACATACATATAGACGAAGGATTTTGCGATAATAGAAGTTAAAGTGATTATATATAAGGAGAGGTTCATTTGAGAAGTAAAAAAGTGATCATAGCCTTTCATAGGGTCAATATTGGTTAAGAATTGTGGTTTTGACTGGTCAAGCAAAAAATAGAGAGCTAGTTTTGTAATTTTTACAAATCGGTGACAAACAAATGTATATGTGAATCCATAATTTATATGTGAATCATTTAATTTGTTCATATATGAATCAGTTAATTAGTTCATATGTGAATCAATTAATTAATTCATATGTGAATCACACAGGTTCACATGTGAATCAGTTAAATAGTTTATATGTGAATTAATGGGTTCACATGTGAAGATATAGTTCATATGTAAATTGCACGAGTTTACGTATGTACTTACTTTGTCGCCTATTTGTAAAAGTTATGAAACTACCCATTTATCTTTCATATACCATGTGAGGAATAATCTGGTGCTTCACAATCAAAGTGGCAAATCTTGACTAGATGAATGGGTAGGATCACTTCTCTACTTCTCAAGTACTTGTCATTTCTCACATGACAAATATTTGACAAGGTCGTCCCTTGGCCCGTTACATATGGGATTCAGAACAGGGCCCCAACATTTTGGGGCCCAAATTTCACAGGCCCGTCTATTGTAATGTACGCCTAGTCTAACATGACCGTGACTGTCGAGTAAGTAGCAACGAATAACAGGAGAAATCGATTGAACAAGAGCGAACCAGACGCCTCGATCTCCTATCTCCTCTCTATCCTATCGATTGTCGATTGAATTCTCCAAATATGGCTAACGATTCGGTTTAAGATTTGCAACACAACAAAAACAACGGTAAAATTTTAGATGATTTTTTATAAGTATTTGTCGATTACTCAATACTCATTACTCAGATTGCTATTCTCCTATCCTTAAATCTCATAATCTCAACGATTGGTTTGGTCGATTACTCGAATATTCAATTGCTTATTGCTTATTTCATCTGTGTTGGTTACTTGGTTGGTCGATTACTCGATTTTAACCTAATTGACTAATTCTTAAATTCTAAAGGTGAGATAAAGTATGCTCCTAAGTTGCACAATGATTCTCTAAATTAAGGAATTCCTACAAGATTTTAAATTTTTAATGAAGCTTATTTAGTTATTTTTATTATGAATTTGTGATATGTTTTACTGTTTTGGCACAACCGCACAAAGAATGCCAAAAAAAAGGATTTGTTCTTCTTGTTGGTTGCCTGTTGCTGCATTAGACTTCCTGCTTTATTCTTTTCTGGTTTACAGTTTTGTTCTTCTTGTTGGTTGCCTGACTGCCTGTTGGTTTTCTGCTTTAATTAACTTTGTCTTGCATACAAGTATCTGCTATTCTGCTGCATCTACATTGATCAGTTTATTCATTGCACATCTTTAGTTACTGCATTGAGCACTAGTTATTATGAGCCCTTGTTTGTCAGCTCTGACAATTTTACTAGATAGATGTAGCAAAAAAGCGAATTTAATTACCCAAATCCATGCTTAGGCTATAACCCAAGGTCTCTTTCGCACTCACCAAGACTTCACATGTAAGCTACTCAATATATATGCCATAAAACTGAACAATCCAATCAAAGCACATAGAATTTGTGACCTGTTTGACTGTTAATAACATTACAATAGTCTGTGTTTTGGCACATGATTCTTGTTTTTGTATGATTTTTTGTGTAAGAAAACTTGTAGTCTACTAGTCTTGTTCACTTTGTCTTTTGACTGCTTTTATTTGTAAGACTTTCAATATAATATGAACTTTTGTATTAATTTTTATTTGTTTTTTAGCCAATCTACTTATATGTTTTATAATAGTGTAACAGGGTCTCCAAAAAGATTGAGACCGCCATGATATTTGAGAAGTAAAAAAGTGATCATAGTCTTTCATGTCAAGATCGGATTTTACTGGTCAATAATTATGGCTTTGACTGGTCAATAATTACGGTTTTGACTGGTCAAAAATTGCGGCTATATGAAAAATAGAAATGATAGTTTCATAACTTTTAAATTATTGATTTTCTTTTTATCAAAACTAATAATAACAATATGATGAATAAAAGAAAGAGCAAAATATATTGAAATGCAACAAAGTTTGATTTAGTTGTTATAAAGTGTAACAAAAAAAAATCTCAATTGATATTATAAAGTTTCAATTTTTTTATACCCTTTTTAACTGATATTACTAATCTTATACCATTTTGTAATGTGAATACCCGCTTACGAAATGTTTGTGCACATGCTACGACAAATTGAACACTAAATTTCGACATCTATGTTGTCAAATGTAAAACGATCAGGGTAAAAAATAAAAACAAAAACTAAAAACAAAAACTAAAATTCGACATCTATGTTGTTGAATGTTAAATGATTAGGGTAAAAAAATAAAAACTAAATTTCGACATTTAAGTTATCAAATATTAAAAGATCAGGGTAAAAAATAAAAAAAACTAAATCTCGACATCTATATTATCTGATATTAAAAAATCAGGATAAAACTTTGAAAACTTTGTTATAATTAAATGAGAAAATAATACACTAAAAAAGAACAAAGATTGTTTGATTAGTTATTCATTAAGTTTTGTATGGATAAAGTTATTTGTATAGATTAATTTGTCTATATAAATTGAGAAAGTTTTGTTTTAAAAGACAGATTTTCATAGATGGAAGAAATATGTTCTTTTAATTGAGATGACATGTTTGGAAAAAACTTATTTCTTTGTATAAAATTGCTAAAAATTGAAGGGTATTCTGGAATATTTAAGAAATGAAGGGGGTAAAGATGCACCAAAACTAAAAATTAAGGGACCAAATGAAATCTGATCGATACCACCACAATCGTCAATTGGCCTCACTCGCGCTCTCTTTCGTCCTCAACTCCCCCCTCTCTCACGAACTGATTCACGAATCGAAATATCAAATCACCATTGTCGGCTCTCGAGTCTCGCCTCTCGCTCTCTCGAGTCTCGACTATCGACCGGCGACCGCTCAAAATCTGAATACTTGTGACTTCTGAGGTTAGGTTTTCTCTCGACTATCGACTATCGACCGGTTTCTAATTCTTGTTTGATAATTCATAATCTAGATGATGTTGCCCTCCATACTTAGGTTTTCTTTTAAGCTTTAAAGCTGTAAATGTAGTACTGTATGTATCATGTATGCCTAATTGCCTACTTAGGTTTTATGTAATTTAAACTACATTACAAATTTAAAATGAAGCTGTCCTGTGCGGCTGCGCCCCTGTTTTCTGTAATTTGTAAACAACATTACAAATTGAAAGATGTAATATACTAATACTGTATGTATCAATGTATGCCTAATTGCCTACTTAGGTTTTCTGTCAAGTGTCAACATTAGTTAGGTTGGGACTTGTGGCTGTTTTTGGGGTTGTTTCGTTTTGCAATTTATAAGTAAAATCCATGAAATGAGTCTGGTTACTCACTTCTGTTTGCAGACATTGCTGGTTACTATTGCTATTAATTGATCTAGTTGTTCATCGATTCAATCAAGCCTATCTCTGGAGTTGTAGCTCTTCGTTCTATGATTAATATTCAAGTTATCATCCACCTATTTTTGTTCTAATCCCATTAGATTTTGATGTATTTTAACACAATTTCAGCAGCTATAATACAGTTGAACAGACCTATAAATGTGCAGTAGTTAAGTGATGATTTGCCCTCACTTGAATGTGCAGTAGCTAATTCACTTGACTGTTCTCCCTTAACTTTGCAATTTTACATATGAAACTCATGATTGTCATTGGTTAAGACCCTAAATATGATTATATGAAACACATGATGGACTAATGGAGTCATGCAATAGCTAATTTCATAGGCAAACACCTTAATTGACTAAAACTAGGAGGACAAAATTAGTGAAGTAGGAATGAGCCATTGATGTTGTAGAGTGTAGATAATTGAAGAAGAACCAACGAGTTAAGTGTTTAGAGTTGGATTGAAAAGGTACGAGTGTTGATTTTGGTTTATACAGAAGACGTAGGACGGTAGGATGTAGTAAATGGAGACAAGTAGACGAGTTGGTGTTATGATGCTCCTTATTTTGGTTTTGGACAAGTAGACGAGTTGGTGTTTAAATGCAAGGGCTATAACAACTTGATTAATGAAACCTTAACATATTATTTTAAAGCAAACACTCAACTATAAGATCACACTTATGAACAAAAAACACTAATGGATCTCTCGGTCTACGAAGGAAAGCTAGACAATTGTAAACTACCACACTTGGATGTTTTTAATTGGGCATCATTTGGACTTTTCGCCGTGGGCACCAAAAATCTCAGGACCGGCCCTGTTTACATGATTTCATTGATTTATTTACATGTTGCTTTGAGTTTGTACATTTGATTAATTGAGTTTTGATTCTTGACCTATATTTGCCCTAAATTTGACTTGTATCTGTTAAATTGATGTTATTTTTCTTAGCTTATTGTTTTAGTTTTCCCAAACTTAGTTGTTGTTTTGTTGATGTTAATTTGTTAATTAATATAGGGTTCTTTAAATTTGGTTAGCTAATTTTAATTTGCAAAACGTCCTATTTGTTAAGAAAATCCTAGATGCAGAAGAAAACAAAATTAGGAACCTAGAAAACAAAACTAAAAGATAACTAGAATCAAATCCTTAAAGTTGAAAAATTATACAAAGTCAACCCAAAACACTAAGTCACTCGAAATCAATCAAAAAACTTATAAAATCCCTCGAAGAAGGAATTCAGCTAAAAACACATCGAGCGGCTTTGCGGGAATCTTGTCCAATTTAAAGGTGCACCCGTTCAACAAAAACCTTGGGTCCGCCACTGAGTTGTAGGTCCTATTAAGCTTATTAAACTGCTAATAGACATTGCATTTTGCCTAAAAGAAAGAAAAATGTATATACTCTCAAAAGATACAGATCGTCATTCCTCATCGGTGATTCAACCTGAACTTAGGCATGGGAATGGGACGGGGACCCCAATTCCCATCCCCGTCCCCATCCTCGCCAGGGAATATAATCATGTCTCCATCTCCATTCCTAATGGGGAATCTGAGATTTTTTTCCTGTTTATGTGAGATATTTTTAAATCAAATGTGTTAAACACCAAAGTCGATCCAAAATGGTCCATGTTTAAATCTCACATATTTTCAAAATTTTGCTTTTATGGAGTACCAAATACCCATATGTGAACAAAGTCACAACATCGGACGTAATTGTTTTAAACCATTTTCGGCTCCGTATGCTTTTTTATCTAAAAAAAAGACAAGTTAGAAAAAGCGTATATAGAAAGAAAGGTCAAAACACTCTTTCTAAATTTAAAAGATACTGAATTTAATTTATTTATAAATAATATTTAATAATCTATACTATATTATAAAGCATTTGACAAAAACTCTTAAAGACAATTTTTTATGCACGAAGTACTGTTTATTGATGCATATTTCTTAAAATTTAAGATTACAAGTAARTTGTGCATAAGTACAACTTATTAAAGCTCCGTATTTGAATTCATGTAACTAACTGTGGATAAACATAATCAAATATTGGATAAAYATCTCATTTTAAATATAAAAAATATAAAATATAATTAGGATAATTATTGAGTTCTAACAGAATACTTAGTTATTATCTTTATAAAAAATTATATTATTAAACCTAAATTAAATTATAATAAAAAAATGAATTAAAAAATTACACAAAGAATAAGTAATTTTAAATAGTTAATTTGATACTAATATTGATATATTTTTGTCAAATTTTTATGATATCTTCAAATTTATATTTTATTCAAAAATAAAAACATAATCTCTTTCTCAAAATCATATAAGACCATATTATAACATCGACTGAGATAAATAATAAAATGAAATATTAAAATCAAGATGTATCTCGCTGCATTGTGCGAGTACCCTTCTAGTAAATATATAATATGTTTAATGTATGGGGACGGTGTGGGTTGAGGATCACGTTACCTGGTCATGCCCCATCTCTGGTTTTTTACTTTAAGGATCCCCGTTCCCTTTTCTATCTCCGGTCTCCAGTTTTGCGGGAAATCCCAGACCGTGCTGGGAGTTGCGCACAGGAAGGGAGATTGTGGCGGTTTGGTCACATTCGTAGGATACAGATAGTGGCTTCAGTGAGGAGTGTAGAAAGTACGAGGGTCAAGGGAGTGAGGAGGAGGCGTAGGGGTAGGCCGAGGAGGATTTGGGTTGAGCAACTGGGTTAGACATGATCATTGATAAGAATTCTTGGAGATGCAATACTACTGTAGCAGACTATGGGTGGGAATTTTTCCAACTAAGAACTTGAGAAATCAAACATCTTCACGTCTTTGTTCCAATTTATGAGCAATGAAAAAATTCTCACTTTCACTTGTTAAGGCTTGTAGATTTCATGTTTTTCAGATCTGTGATTCAGAAAATGTCTAAAAAGAGTTCATCTAAAACTTCCAGACCAGCGCTACAGAGCCCTGCTATAGCGAGCTGGGACATGCCTAAAAAGAGTTCAGCTAAAACTTCCAGAGCAGCGCCACAGAGTGCTGCTATAGCGAGTTGGGACATGCCTAAAAAGAGTTCATCTAAAAAGAATTCATCTAAAGCACCCAAACCAGTGCCACAGAGTTCGGCTGCAGCCAAGGCAAAATCATCCTCTACACCAAAAACGTTTGGACATGAAATTGAGGAAATCTTCTCAAAGAAAAGAAAGAAAACCGGGCATGAGAAGACCAGAAAAGTGGCAGAAGGTGTCGTTGGAAAACCAGACAAATTGGACGAAAACATGGGTAAAGATTCAAAAAAAGAGAATTCTCATAAGAAAAGGAGTAGATCTGGAGGCTCAAATGTGGACGTGTTTGAAAATGAACAAGCTGCTAGACCCAAGAGGAAAACTGCCGACGGTCTAGTCATCTACTCAGAAGAGGACTTGGGAATTGGTAGGGCGGATGCTGGAGGTACCCGTCTCTGTCCTTTTGATTGTGACTGTTGTTTCTGACCTCTCTTTAACTTTCTAATATTGTATCAACTTATCATCAGCATGCTTCTCGTAGTTTTAAACACAGTTTTGACTTGTGTAATTTAATTGCTTCTTATTTTCCAGCTTTTGCTTCAAGGCAGAGTTCATTTTTGTTTCTAATTTTAGAATTTCTGTTGTCATTTATGAATTCAATATACAGAATATAATGATTCTAAGGCCATGCCTTGCATTTTTCAATCTATGTCAATTACAGTTCTTCCTTCAGTATTGCTTCCATCTGATTCACTTTCCTGGGTGGGGCCTTGTTTTCCCCATCAGTGTGCTTTTTTTTTGCTGGCATTTTGGAGGAAAGGAGTTCTTGGAGAGACAAGACTAAGGTAGCATACTTGGGGCGGATATCTGTATGTAGCTAGCGTTCACTGGAGGTAGAGTTAGTGAGCCGACAGTTAGATTGCCAGAGCCTTAACTTAGGACAGGAGTGTGTAGTTTTCTTATGCACACTGTTGTGCATCGTGACACCGAATGCACAAACAACTATTAATTCATCTACCGACCAGCTTTGAAAAGCTCAGTTCTCTCCCAATTCTACCTTTTTACAGGCTAGATAAATCTAGACATCCGATATTTTTTTTACTACCTTTCACCCACCTTCTCCCTAACTACTAACCGACTGCAACCAGTCCAACTGAGTCCCTTCCCTATCCAAGTTTACCAAAGTACCCCTGCTGTACAAAACCCCCTCCCAGTCTAACATTTCCGTACTTTTTGTTATGTTCGTCTCCAAAAGTTGTAGTATATGCCTTTCTTGTCTTAAATTCTTCTTTTTACGTTCCTCTTTCTTATTTATTTCCTCGAACTTTTTGGGGCAAACTTTCTCCTCATACATTTTTGGGATTTACTGTTTTGGTTTGGTTTATATGGTTGTTGGGTTTATGTTAATTGTAAATGCTAATAACCATGCATTTAAAACCTAATCCGTGCAATCAATTTGGGTCGATGGGTATAAACTATGCGCTCATTTCTGTTCAGTTCTCAGTCAAATCACAAATGGATCGCTTGCCATATTCGTAGGATGTGATATTAACCCTTGATGCTTGTTTTGTTTCTTCTCTAAATTGCAGTTTCCTGATGCTTCTTGTTGGATAAGTTGTTTTCTGGGAGGACTTCTGTTCATGCTTGATAATGTTAAATCTTGGAGGGAGGGTAATACTTGATTTATTACACAATTTTCTCCAAGTTTGCTTGCATTACTTCTTTTTGAAGTCTATACATACATATATAGACGGAGGATCGTGTGAGAATGGAAGTTAATCTCACCCCCACCCCATGAATTGCCCTTAGGAATTGATCCCGTGTTGATCTTCAATTAGGATAATCCAAAGATAGAGATCCCTTCTCACCGGAACCCAACCGTAGACAGACACTATACTCACCTTTGGTGAGATTTGAATCCTCTACCTTCAGGATGGTTGGGTAACCTAGTATCGCTAGACCATTGACCTTTTGCCTAATCGGGTTGTTTCATTATTTTTCTGTCAAACCATGTATGAAGTAGTTGATGCACACGGGAACAGGATACGTCGATGGACAAATTCAAATTCAATCCAATGAGAAGCTATTGTGGGATGCTCAATTTGATTAGGTTAAGGTTCCAACCTGGGATTGTAGTTCAATCGGTGAGAGCACTGCCTTGTCAAGGCGGAAGTTGTGGTTTCGAGCCACGGCAGTCAGTCCGACCTTAGAAGTTCCCATGGAAAGACAATAAAGCGTCAACAGTGTTGTCTAGCACCTTTTAGGTTCTAGCGCCAACTATGACGGCGTCATACGAGTGCAAAGCAAGAGATATTGACTACATCTAGATGGCAGCTACTTTGTTTTTCAGAATTTACTGCTATAACACGGATAACGAACTTTTTAAAATCCTCAAATATCAATGTACAAGTTTAAAAACGTAAAAAATCATAAAAATACAAACAAAAAAAAAACAAACCCTTTAAAAGCACTAAATAATAAAAACTAATCATTGCATTTAGAAAGGAGCCATAAAAATAGAAAAAAGCAGTCGTTGCATTTAAAAAGTTGTCATTTCTGGGGTGGTAGAAAATCATCCGAACCGATAGATTCAATTAGAACCGATAGACAGATCCAATTAGAACCGACCGGCCGACCATCATTGGATATCCAATTGTAATTGAATTGGATTGGATCCAAAATTTCAACATCCAAATCGAATCGGTCGGTTCTTGGATGGCAGTCCAACATCCAGTAAAACCGAATTTATCCAATACAATGACCATCCAATTAATAACTATATATAATTATTAATATTGGACAATTTTGTTTTTTAATTGATATTTATATACATTGCTTTTAATAATTTAAGAAAATATACGAATAGTTGGTTGAGTATTGGATCGAAGGATTGGATGAATCAAATACGATCCAATGAATAACCAATAGTAACATCCAATGAATAGAACCAATCTGATCCAAATCCAATCATCCACTGGATTTGGATCGAATCGGATGTCCAATGTTAATCGGATTGGATCGGATGACAAACATCTAATAGATAATTTGATACGAATCCACCTAAATCCATTCGATGTCAACCGTTGAACACTCCGTACTCTTTCACCAATCTTCTATATTATTAGAGATAGAGAGAATAAGAACATAAATTAAAAATAAATTTGCTTTTCATAAAATAATTATAAAAAAGAGAGAATAAAAACATAAATTAAAATTAATATATTAAATGAAATAATTTATGTTTATTCATTTGATTGTTGAAATAGGAAAAACCGTAAGTTTTGGAACATGATATTTTTATTTGTCCAAATCATTTAAAATAAATACATTTTTGGACCATATGACGCTTACAACGGTAACCATGTAGCGTGAAGGAGTATAGCAAAAGACCCGTCCTATACCGAGGTTTGGAAGGACCAATCCAGGCTTAACCAATTACAGGGCAGACCTAAAACTGGTTTAGGGCTTGAGCTCAAGTATGCATCTGTACTTAGATGAAAGTTTTTTAAATCATAAAGGATGACTCCTTTTCATTTCTAATACAATGGAACGTAGCAATTACTTGTTTCACGGTAGATAATTTTATAAGGAAATGAAATAAAAGTTTAAATCAAATTTTTTATGAATAATACCAAATAATACGCCATTGAACATCACAAAAGTTTAAAACCGGTGTTATTTACACCAAATCAAACGAAAATGTGTGCTTTTGATGCTCAAATGGCATGAAATTAAACTTTGAAACAGATGTCACAGGGGAGGAGCGTCGTTGCCAACATAAAATACATCATGGGCGAGGAGTTATTGGGTTTGAGTATGATCCCTCTAATTTTCTGATTTGATTATGAGCTGCGAGCTGATTTTGGGAATCCATTGTTATTTCTTAATTTCAACTAAGTAGCAAGTAATGGATCACTTGGCCAACAAATCAATGGACTTGCTTACTGGGTAAATTGTTGCATACAAAGTCGTTTTTGTGGACTAAAATCTTACCCGGTAAGTAAATAATAGTGTTAAAATTTATTGTTAAACACATACCTGATAAGTGTTTGGTAAACAACCCCTTAATGTTAAACTTTGAAATTTTTAAAAAAAGAAGGGTATTTTGAATTATTTTAAAACTGAAGGACTAAACCGGAACTTTTTAATAAACTTATCAAAACAATGGGTTTTTATTCCTACTTCTATTCTTCAATCATCGTCCATCATCTCTTTGCAATTCATATTTTAGAGCATATTTATTCAATGGTCTTACTATTTTCAGACCATATTTTCTGCTTATAATTTATATGTTAATTAAATTTCATCCTTGTTTTGCCTTATTTGCCCTAAATTCTAGGTTTGTTCTAAACTGATTCGATTTCATTATTGATTTGTTGTAAATTTATAGAGGGCCGTCTACTAAACGCTTACCCAGATAAGCGCTTATCAAGTAACACTACCTCACCGGATGAATATGGTAAAGACCAAGAATCTTACCCAATAAGAGTGGACAAGGACCAAGAGTTTTATCCGGTAAGTGAGAGCGACAACTCTTACCACGGTAAACGCTTACCGGGTAAATTGTTGCATATGATGTCGTTTTAGTGGACTAAAATCTTACTCGTCAAGTAAATAATAGTGTTAAATTTTACCGTTAAGCACTTACCAGATAAATGTTTGGTAAACGGCCACTTAGTCAATTTTCATTTGCTTAAACCCTAGTGTTGATTCTAATTTGGTTAGTTGATCTTAATTTGTAAAACATTTTATTTAATACTAGAAATTCTAGATGCATAACGAAAGGAAAATTGGAGTAGAAGGCAATAAAAAATGGAAAATTTTACAAATTAACAAGAAAATAAAAAAAAAATTCCCCATAACAATGGATTTCGGTTAAAAATGCATTAAACATATAATATATATTCTTGCGTCTTGCTCAAAAGATTAAAGTCAATTCTATTTATAAAAATGTATTTTATTTATCAAATCGACACAATTAACTTTTTCTCGATCAAACCCTGTTGACTTGCCAACCTTTGATCCACTAAAAAAGCATGGATCCAGCATTGACATAAGCAATTAGGAACAATTCTCGTGCTAGTTTGGTCCTATGGATAAGCGTAATTTTTGGTGCATCCTGACACACGCAATCAATTTGGAAACAATTGAGAAAATATCTTTTATACAAGTCCGTGATACATAGTTAGATAGAAAAAGGGTTATGTCTGGTCCATCACTAAGATTTGTTATCTCATTGTCTAACTTATTAATTTATTTGCATCTTCATTTAATGTACATCTGTCTCCCGTTTAATCCCCTCATCCCGCCCCAAATAATCCTGGAAGGGTTTGGGGGGAAGGAATCTTCGACGTGTTTGGAATAAAAAACTGTGTATTTTAAAATTAAAGTTATAATAAATTGTCACTGTATCAATTACCAATATTTAAGATTAAATATATTTATTATTTAATAATAAATATTTAACAAAATAAAAAATTAGGGGCCGTTTATCAAACTCTTACTCGGATAAGTGAACACCAAGTCATTTTTACCTTACCGTATGAATATGGTAAGGATTAAAAATCTTACCCGGTAAGAACGAGACAATGACCAAGTGTCTTTCCGGATAAGTGAGGGGAACGACTCTTACCATAGTAAGCACTTACCAGATAAATTGTTATATACGATACCGTTTTAGTCATTAGTGAACCAAAATCTTATTTAGTAAGTAAATAATAATGTTAAGTTTACCTCCAAACACTAACACTTATCAGGTAAGTGTTTGGTATATGGTCTCTTAGTCATGTAACCAATAATGTGGTTGGGTTAGGTTTAGTTGATAAATATAAATGGTTAAATAAAAGGAAACGAGAGTGAAGCTGCGTCATGGTGGTGTTTCGGTTCTCCGAGTGTGTTACCTGCCAACTTTGAATTTCTTCGAGTCAAATTGAATACCAATTAATTGAGTGATTAGTTTTCGGCCACGAAGCAATTCTCCATCGATGGATTCTCCAACTACTTAGTATATTTTGATGCCTATTGATCTCATTTTCTCAAGGAACCCTCAAAAAAACCCTATAGGAATCCCTTGATTTTCTCCCCTTTTCAAGATTAACACGTTCAAACTCGACAGAGTTTTGTAACTTCAACGCCATGGAGGCAACAACCAGCTCATATGCTCTCCCCGGTGTAAATATTTCAAATTCGAACATCTCCAAATTGAGACACGATGTTTCTGTGTAAGTTTGTATTTGATCGTTAATTTACGATGAATAAATTAGCACTCAGTCGCATGATCCTTATGCTGCTAATTTTTATTTATTTTTAGGGACCAATCGAGTATGAAACCTACTCCTCCTGTTGAACCACATTTTGCCTTTGAAAAATTAAATTGGCTGGCTGTGAAATTTGTTTCGGATCCTTAACATTTTGGGGGGTAGTATGATACCTACATTAAATTTGTAACGAATATTACAAATTGAAACCGTTGTTGGTAGATCACAAACAAAATCATTAGTAATTTGTATCAGGAATGAGGAAACTACGTTCGGCATCAATTATTGAAACAATTTACCAAGTAGCTATTGCGTAATGTTATCGGTTAGTCTTTACAACTTTGAGTCGCTTTGGAGACATGGATGTGTGAGTTTGTTGACCATTCAGAAAAATATTGCTGGAAGGGTTTACAGTTGACCAAATTCTTATATTATACGTATCTTCTTTAACCAATAACCCGTCTTCATCATATGGAACTGGTTGGCCATTAACAAGGCTTCGGTTTCTAATCTGTGTGCGTTGAGTTTGTTATCTTTTTGTGTGTTGTGAGTATTCGACACTAAATCACAGAACAATTAGTAATCTTTCTTGCATGTGAAAGAAGTGTTCTTTTGATGAAGATTATAAACTATTAATTATGATTGTATAGGAAATGGTTGCTTATGATCCTGCTGCATATTCTAAATGGTTCTTACAAGTTACAATTTGATCAAATCGTGTGCTGACATGAAATCTAGATTTCATATGAATAAATCTATTGAGCTGTCTCTGATACAAATGTCAAGCACATTATAAGCTCCAATAGACTAATTTCTAGCAAATTAGTCAAACCTGGATCACTTGCTTCAGGAGTTCAGTCCGTTCATGATATGGAAGCACTCATGATCTCTCTCAACTATCATAGTGTTTCTATGCCCTGTTTGACTTTTATCTCTTCCCTTCTTCCTGTTTGCTCTCTGTAATATCTTCTATGACTCTAGCTCTGCCAAGCATGCATATGTATGACATTAGAAGTCTCTTTTTTAATATTATTTGCTTTATTAATTAGGGTCACATTGTAAAAGGAGGAATCAGACATAGTGTAATTCTTGAGCAATCTAATTAAGATCCAAAAGATCCCACCACGTGATGATCAGAAGAGATTATGCTATGGGATTTTTTTTTTGCAAATTCAACTGGATAAAGCAATTGAAGTAATTTATCACATGACTAGAAGGAGCATTTTACATGTTAAAAAAGACTAAGCCTTGCAGCTCACTCTACTAATGTGGTATAAATCTTTAGAGCCCTTAACAAAAAGTTAAACCAATATAATGCAATGGGTTTTTAGAAGGGTATGCTTTCTACTTAAATCCATTTATGAGATGGGAGTATATGGCACTAACTTTCTGATATGGGATTTTGCTGATGCTTGCGAAACTAATAAATTGATGAAGCTTTCTCATCGTTATTTCTAATCATAAATCAAATATTGGATTCTCCTATCTTCCCTCATGTATTTAGCGTTGGGGCGGAGCCAGGATTTAGAACCATGGGGAGCACCGAACATAAATAAATAAAGTTAATCAAAATTTAATATTAATTTTTCTTGGAGCCCAATAACAAACGAAGGTAACTTCAAATAACATTAACAACCGTCGTAATTCGACTTCAAAAACACAAGTCATCTAATGTTTAACAAATAACAAAGGTTCTCTTTTTGTATGTAGTGAAAATTGTTGTATCTATGACTGTAATGTTCCATATGGTTAATCACTTGTTAGGAATAAACATTTCTTAAAATAGAAATGGGGAAGCGTGTGAGTGTCTATGGCATAGTTTAAGCTTTCAGACATTATTCTTGATTACTAATTTTTAGGTTACATGTGAGTGTGAGGAGAGCCAATGCCCCCTCTGGTTACCATGTGGCTCCGCAACTGATTTAGCGAGCAAACAGGAAGAAGGGATTTTGAACCATAAGCTGTTGGCTTTCAATTACTTGAAATGGTTTTGCAAATAAAGAATAACTGGTATAGGAATGGTGCCTATGAAAATCTTTGTTCTGATGGTTTTGCAACCTGAGTAAATTTATAGATGTAATTACCTAGGAGCTGTGGACATATGATAGGTTTGCATTAGATACCTACAAACTACAAAATTAAAAGACAGGCAATTTTCTTCATAAGGTGGTCCTTGTCTACATTTAATTGGTTTGATTTGTTGAGGACATGGAACTAGGCATCATTCATGAGTTTCTAGAACTGTGGTTCAGTTCAGGTATGTCTTGGCATTTTTTATATGCCCGTAATTTCCTGCAATTATTTCCCCTTGATTCTTAACTATCCATAAAGATCCGAAAAGGTCATAGGTTAGAAGCTAATCTTTTGGTTATGAAAAGTTATGGGCAGAGATATCATTGTCTCTACTCTTTGTACAAAGTGGTGTTTAGTTTCTTGGCGACACCCAAAAATATGTGGGTTATTTGGCTATGTGACCTTCTTGAAAGGGTTTTTTTTTTTTAATTCATGATCTTCTGATAGGTTTTTAGGCATTCTTGTGTTTGGAAGAGACATTCTTCTTTTATGCGGAGACATTCTCAAAACCTATAAGAAGAGCATGGATTTAAAAAAAACTTGTTAGAAGGCCATGGATTTAAAAGAAAACTTGTCAGAAGGTCATTTAGCTAAATAATCCTAAAATATGTGGAGACCTTCAATAGTTGATAGAGTGACTTAGTTACAAATTTTCATCACAGTTGTTTTTTTTACAATTAAACTTAAGTTTTAACAGTTCTTTTCACCTGCAGTGTATGCTTTCAGCGAGGTCTTCGAGTTCCTGATCGCAACCGCACATGTGAAATAACATGTCAATCATCTTGGAGTTCTGATACAACTGGAAGCACCTTTCAGGACTTGCAATTGCGTATGCCCATTCAGAAAAAAAGTTTAGCTGGAAAAACGTTTTGCAATGCAGGGGTGTGGACACACCCTATGAATGCTACAGAATCTCATTCGCACATTGAGGAGGATAAGGTTGGAGTACTTCTTTTGAATCTCGGAGGTCCAGAGACTCTTAATGATGTTCAACCCTTTTTGTATAATCTATTCGCAGACCCGGTATGTTTGTTGTTATAACTATAAGCAATTCCATTTCTATATCATTATTTGCATGGTTTCTATATTTCTGTTGTACTATAATATTGGTTTATTGGGACAGGATATCATCCGTCTCCCAAGGTTGTTTCGGTTCCTACAACAACCCTTAGCACAACTCATTTCCGTACTAAGGGCACCCAAAAGTAAAGAAGGGTATGCTTCCATTGGAGGTGGTTCACCTCTGCGAAAGATAACAGATGAGCAGGTTAGGCGTATGACCTTATGGAAATCTTAGTTATTGCTCATGTATGTATCAAAAAAATCATTATATTAATATAGATTACCTTGAAATATTTATTACAAATAGAAGCAGATAAACTCAAATGACTTGGAATGACTCTCAGCACTTGATGTATGAGCACCATACAGGACTGTTCTTATTCATCCAGCAGCTACCATCTTATTCTAAAGCCAAATCTTGCTTGTGGAAAAAACACACTAGTCTGCCAAAGGATAAGTGAAAATTAATACCAAAGCACGGCTAACTCTTTCAGAAGATAGTATTTGGAAGGAAAATGAAGATAGCACAAATTCAAACCAGTAACTTTTTAACTCCTAGACTCCGTAAAGAGAATACATCATTTGATACTCACTAGAATGTTGAAATGCTAATAAAAAGATTGACAACAGTTTAGAACTATGGGGACTTCAAAACAGCCAAAGCAACCCCTAGTCAGCCACAACCCGAAATCCTCTTAAAAGGAAAAATTAAATACTAACTATAACATCTTCCATCCAAGATGCACATGGCTAAAAGCCAACTCAAAAGATAATAGAAACTAAGCAAAATTAGGATCTCTCTCATATGGATCGATACACACTAGGCCAGCTACATATTCATTGCTTACCATTACCAATTATATGGATATGTCATCTTTAGTTGCCTGTCATCCACGGTTGCTGTTAAGAGTTTCTGAACTAGTAGGTAGTGTGATGTCTTTCTATGTTGCATTTCGAAACACGCTCATCATTCTTGCTGTTTGTTGCAGGCTGATGCTCTAAGAATGGCGCTTGAAGCAAAGAAAGTACCTGCTAATGTCTATGTTGCAATGCGTTACTGGCACCCATTCACCGAGGAAGCTGTTCAGCAGGCAAGTATAAGTGTGAAGAAACCATTTAGACAAGTTTGAAACCTTCAAATTGCAGAAATTTCTAATTTATAGAAAGGCAGACCCACTGGGATGGACTATCATTCGTTGTTTCTTCCAGGTTCTATGTGGATTAGATTCTAGTTTCTGTTTTGCTATAAAAAAACTACGCACCCTTCTCCATCCAAAAACTAAGTCACTGTATGACAAAGGATACTAAAACTGATGTTTGCTGATCTCCCAACCATGACATTTAAGAGAGAAAGCCATGCATCTGGATAAATCAACTTGAACCTTAATACTCTATTTCCGCATATGTTACTGTTCCCAACTTGATATTTGGGTCTATACCTCTCATGTATGTCAGCCTCTTTATTTTTCTTGAATATTGCTTATTGCTAGAGCATTCATTTGCAATGAACCCTGCGCCAATTTATCAAATTTCCTGGATTTTGGACAACTAGGTGAAAGGTCCACGTGTTGCAAGTAATATCAATATTTGACTTGAACAGGAAACAGTAACCAGCCAATGGTATAAGAAATTAAATTTTGTTAATTGGTAGATGATATTTTTTTTCTTCTTGTCTAATGTACTTATCAACTATTGTGTCAAAAAAAGGTAATTATCTACTAGATACATTTAACTTCTCCATCGAAATTTAAATCAAGAGTTTGGATATGTTTGTTACAAAATTAATTCATGAGTTCAGAACTTACATTAATAAGAACGGTCGATACGTGCAAAACGGTCAAGTGCAAAGGACTCTTGATTTGCAACCAGACATATAATCTTTGACATACAATATTTCGATTGGGTTGAGTACAATCTGTTGAATCTTTTTGTTTGTTTTTAATACTACTCAATTCGCTTACCAACTCTGGTCATGTTTTCTATGCGAATAATGCTATCTTTTCACCAGTTTTAAAAATCATGATTGGTTTTGATCGGCATGAATGTCGGTGGACACTTTTTTTTCTTATGATCCTCTTGCTAAATTTTCTGTTCTATCATCAAGTGTTCTTTTAATTTTGATCATACTTTAGGGTTTTATATGTTGGCCTATTGGCTCGTCTTCTACTCTATATAATTGAATATTTCTCAATGATACGTTGACACTTCCAAATCCCATTTACTCCCTCGTCCTTCTTTAAACTTGGTGAAACGATGGTTCAGTCGGGCAAAGTTTCAGATCATACCAATACCCAACTTGAATTTCTTGTTCAAACTAACGGTGATACTGATGTCTTACCATGGCAGATTAAGAGAGACAGGATTACGAAGCTTGTCGTGCTTCCCCTCTATCCTCAATTTTCTATTTCTACAACTGGTTCAAGTATTCGTCTTTTACAAACCCTCTTTAGGTAAACTTGTGATTTCATTGTGTATCCCAAATGGTTCTGTTTACTTGCTCGCAATCATTATATTTTAGCACCATCATAAGCACATTTAATCTGAGTGATTGCAGGGAGGACAAGATTTTGTCAACGCTTCCTGTTGCTATTATCCAGTCTTGGTATCAGCGCCAAGGTTATGTCAAGTCTATGGCCGACTTAATTGAGAAGGAATTGCAAAGTTTTGGTTCACCTGAGGAGGTATATTCTACTTTAGATTGCTTATGATCTGTTGATGATCAGATGAACCATCACAATATCTCAGAGCTACAGATATTTAATTTAGTTTTATAATTGTTGTTATCGGCTGACTTGTAGGTCATGATATTCTTTAGCGCCCATGGGGTACCGGTTACTTATGTTAGAGATGCTGGGGATCCATATAAAGATCAGATGGAGGAATGCATTTACCTAATCATGCAAGAACTCAAAGCAAGAGGAATCGACAATGACCACAAACTGGCTTATCAGGTCATCCATTTAAGTTCTTAATTCCAACTTCCAAGAAAACTTTTGTTTGTTCTCCTTAGTAAGAACATTATGAGTTTTCTGTTATATATTTATATATTTCTAATGAACTGTCAGCTTCTTCCCAAAAATATCCCCGTCGCCTGCTCTAAAACTAAATCAAACCAAACAGACCCAATATATCTCACACAGAGGTAGGGTTTGGGGTAAGGATGTAAACAGATCTTGCTTCTAACCCAGAGGTTAGAGAGACTATTTCCATAAAGACCCTGCATGCAAAACAAAATAAAAAAAACTAGGAGACATGAGAAATATACTAAAATAATTAGGCACCTACGATGGTTCCTTTTTTACTTATGGTGGTTCTAAATTTTGTCCCCTTTTTTGTATCAGAGTCGAGTTGGGCCCATTCAGTGGTTGAAGCCGTACACTGATGAAGTACTTGTGGAGCTTGGGGAAAAAGGTGTGAAGAGTCTCCTAGCAGTTCCCGTTAGGTAACTATTTAAACGGAAACCTTAATTTGCTAATGATTTTTCGCTTTTATCTGATAGAGAACGTGTGATATGATGTTTACCCAAGGCTATAGCTATAAGTGTATGTTCGTTTATCACCGTTCCTGTTTTCCTCGTGAACAAATGTGGACCAGCTATAGAAACTAATTCCTTAATAGCTGAACCACGTTAAAGAACTAAAATTAGTAGGCATCCGGAACTTATGGAATATACCAATAAATGTGTCCATTACGGCCTCCTTTCAGAATTTTCATCACTACTTCATTTCGGTCTTGGAACGTTTCTTTCAATTTGTCTTTGTTAGTAAGTGTCGAGTATTGGGGCCTGATGATTGCCCAATCCAATGTTTACCTTTTGTGGAAAGTTTTTATGTCAAATATACTGCTTTTGTCCCAAAAATAAGTGCCAACATTTATATTTTTGTTTGTCCCAAAATAAATGTCCACTTTAAAAAGTGCTTGCTTTTCATTCTACCCTTAATTATGAAATGGAGAAATTCATTACACTCTCTATTGTTAAGGGTACAATTGTCATTTAGTTAATTAAAAAGTGTAATAGTTATACTTTTTTTAAAATGTGTAACTTTTTAACTGTGGACATTTATTTTGGGATAGAGGGAGTACTTGTTGGCGAAGGATCTTGTGAGAAGGAGAGTTAAGGTGAGAAGGGTAAGAAGGGATCTGGACCCTTGATCACCTTTAATCTCAAACCTACCCATGAATCACGCATAATGCGGGGATTTATCTGGTGCATCTCGTTGCATCCCATCATGGTGCATCTCATTCTAATTTGCATCCAAGGGTGGAGATCCCTTCTTACGCTTCTCACCTTGACTCTCTTTTTCACCGGAACCCAACCCGTACTTATTAATCCCAATACCATTATTAAATTGATCAACCCACGACAAATCAATTATTGGACATGACGACTTTAGACATTTTTGAGGACATGACTTTTGATAGGAGTTCTTGGAGACACTTGACTAGGGTAACATACTAGGGGTGGGGATATTTAGCTAGCTAGATGGGAGGAAGGGAGCAGGAGAAGTAGAGGATGGGGGATGGGGTTAGTGAGTTGGTAATTACGTTACCGGAGCTCAAGTTAAGACTAGGGATATGTTTTTCTTGCACTTGCTTCTATTTGTATGTTATTGTTTACTCATAACTAGCTTTTCAAAATTTACCATATCTGTGTTTCTCTTTCACGCATTTTCCACAAGTCAGGAGTCTTTTTAGAAACAATTTTTTTCTACTCTTTGGAGTAGGTGTCACATCTACGTACATCATACACCCTGACCCCACCTCCAGATGAGATATACTGATATACTGGGCATGTTTGCTCTTGCTTGGGTAAATTGATAATACCATTTTCTCCCTCTCTCTCTCATATGCATACGCACAAACGTTAATATCGTGTTTAAGGTTAAGTTATGTTTTGAATATCCAGCTTTGTGAGCGAGCACATAGAGACACTGGAAGAGATAGATATGGAGTACAAGGAGTTGGCCCTTGAATCGGGGGTTGAAAACTGGGGTCGTGTCCCTGCTCTCGGATGTACTTCTACCTTCATCACCGATCTGGCTGATGCAGTTATCGAAGCATTGCCTTCTGCTACAGCAATCACAACGTCAACGAATGATGGTGGTGATTTTAATCAAGATCCAGTTGGGTATGGCATTAAGATGCTATTAGGTTCCTTCTTGGCATTTATATTGCTGGTATTTCCCGCATTAAAGAATCACATCTAGAAGTGTTCCGAAACCACAAGGAGAAGTGGTAAAATAAAGAGAGTGATTACAATATACATACAACGGTAGGGAATTTTATTGCTTTTTACGGATCGAATGGGCGTCTTTTGTTTTTTCTGTTTACATGACAAAGGAGACCTGGTGAACAAGTTGTTTCACTTTTTTATTGTTATAAAAAGAATGCATGATAGGTTTTTTTGTCTTCTATTATTTATGGTAGAGATGCATAACACAATGGCCAGAACTAGTCCAAACACCCAGAGATGTGTAAAGGGCCGGGAGTGGATTTCGTAACCAGAACCACAAAAACCGATCGGGCCACCCTCTCTAATCGGTATTCGGTATTACGTAACTGACCGGTTAAAGGGCGACTGATTTGGGGGAGGCTTCTTGTTGGAATCTCACATTGGACCATTTCTCTTGTATATACGTTGGAACCTTCCCTTTCTCCTTAAGAGATTGATTTTGGATTTCATACATATTACAGTACTTCCTTACGGAAAAACCATAATGGAACATGAACATTAACTTGAAGAATTCAGTGATAAGCATATCTATTAGAAGTTTTTCTTGTATTTTTAAACAATGTATTGTTTTTTTAAGTTTACATTTTTTATTTGTATTTATAATCAAATAAATAAAAATGTTTCTATTTAATTATAATATGTATATATATATATATATATATATATATATATATAATTTATAGAGTGAATTATATTTCTTAGTCAGTGTGATTTACTCCAAATATGGATATCGTCTATCAGACACATAATTTACAGTTTCACCAGTCTCTCGAGTTAACATTGTTAAATTGACTCCTCAAGACCGCCAAGATGTCTAGAGTGTTGTTTCCTTTATACAAGGATAGAGTGTTGTTTTTGTAAATACCCTGGACTTGCAAGAAAGATTTGGAAAATTTGACAACAGTTTAGACATTTTGAAAAGTAATTGAAAAGCTTGGTAAGGTACGTGGAAAATATTTGTAAAACCAAAGTGCGTACAAAACATATTCGGATTGGATACCCAATTCAAGTTTCGGATTGGTCACCATGTAAATAGAATCGACGACCAATTCGGATCACGTAGCATACATTCGCTTCATAGACTCTTCAGAGAGACATACTTGCACACTTTGGGATGTGATTGTTCGATAGACTTGAAGATACATCACTATAGGATTAAATATTATTCGGCTAATGTTGAGATCTATCAAGTGTGCCAAGCCAATGAGATTTCAGTTAGAGCACGTTTATCAACCCATCTTTCAACGTTTAACATACTGAACTCTGCGATTAGAAAACTAAGTATACTTGTGTATGGACAAGTTTAATACTTTCTAAACGTCTTATAGATGAGCCGATATGCACACATCAACATCAACATCAACATCAACATCAATGACATGAGGCATAGTTGAACAAGCTGCTTAGATGCAAAAAGATTTGTCTTCATTCCATTTGGCTTCAACAAAGCATAGTTTGTGCCATCCATAAACTTCAACTTTGCATATAAATATGAGAGTGAGCTTATGGATAAAGATTTAGATCGTGTGGGAATAATATTTATAATGAGAATTATAACAACAATTCTGAGCATTTGGATGAATTGACTTTTTAATCTAACTTTATTAGCCTTCAACTATTTTTATCTTAATTTTTAGGCACTTTTATGAATGTTTTTACATGCATGAATCTGTTAAAGTTTTAGTCACAATGATAAAAATAGGTAAACGAAGTTTTGTTGTCATATTCTCACCATAACTCTTATTCTCACTAAAACCCAACCCAACCCAACCCAATTGATAGAATTCTTACTTAATCTAGAGTAACCATTACACTTGGCAGCTACCAAGTGTGCTCTTCCTAACCTACATACTCAAAATCTGAATCCCTTACTAGATCATAAGTAATAATTAAAAAAAAAATTCCATACAAGTGTTTGGTAAACAGTCAAAGACTGAGGCATGCATGCGAAAACATTATAACAAGGCTTTAAAGTTTTAAAACCTATCATGAAAACAAGTTTCTATTTTGTCTTGTCCAGCACACCAAACACAACCCAAAAGAAATAATATGTTGCAACAACTTGTTGTCTGTATAACATAAAAGCATGCCAATTGCAAGCAAACCCCTTCCTTAAATCAAACCATTATCCTCATTAATTATATCATCATTCCTTCTCATAAAAGAAATAACCAAAATCATAAAAACATGTCATGTCAGATAATGATATAGGTAATCCACCAATTAACAAAATCATTAAGCAGCATCAACTCTATTACAACCTACATAACCCCTACCATCAATTAATCAAAACCTAATTCGCCAACACCAAAATGTAGAGCACTTACTGATGCCCGATGTCGTCAATTCTGCTGAGGTGAAGCTTTCGGAATAGGTTGAGCCACCTGGGATGCATCCGAAGAATAAGCAGGTGGTTGCTGGGGATAACCACTGCCATAAGAGCCTCCATACGCTGCCCCATAGCCTGGCTGAGTAGCACCATAGGGTGGTGGTTGGCCATATCCATAAGTAGTAGGTGGAGGGCGCTGACCACCACCAGCATCAGGCTGAGCATATCCACCAGGATATGGGGCAGGCTGAGCATATCCACCAGCACTAGGCGACTGCTGGGGTGGCGGCTGCCCATAAGCAGGCTGACTGACCGGAGGTTTTTGTGTCTGTGGAGGTCCATAGCCACTATATCCTGGCTGAGCCCCATACCCTGAGTGAGTAGAACCTTGAGGTGGATAGCTAGGGTTTGAGCCAGGCTGCTGGACATAACCAGATTGAGGTGCAGATGCTGGCGGAGGAGCTTGGTTCGCATTATCAACCTGAGCCCCATATGCAGCCGTTTGCCCATCAGTGGGAGCATTACCATAACCTTGTTGATCATATCCTGATTGAGGTGCAGATGCATACCCACCATAACCATCCTGGGCATAAGCTTGACCTTGTTGGTTGTAACCATAAGCTGATGCATCAGGTGTTTGGGTTTGTGGAGTTTGTTGCTGACCATAGTAATCATAAGCACCACCACCCTGAGCCTGAGTGGTTGACTGGTCCCATCCGGTGGAAGCTTGTTGTGGATAACTAGCATATGGTTGTTGGGTATACTGAGTAGGTTGACCAGGGTATGCACCAGGTTGAGTGTAGCCATAACCCTGTTGCTGCATTTGAGGCGCCCAACTTGTGGGAGGTCTAGCTTGATAACCTTGCTGACTGTATCCACCACCCATTGAATTTCTTTGACGATTCTGCACAAAAAAAATATATATATAATCTCAAATGAACCATTTGCACTCATACAGGATCATAGAAATAAGTTTGGGAGAGAACACATATTTCAAGCATTAAAGGCAACAGCAGAAATGAGAAAGATTACATATTTCATTATATTAGGATAGATTCAGTTACACACTATACAGCTACATAACATCATAAACAGTTGCCAAAGTGACCCACTAACCATTAGCTATGTAAAAAAATAGCATATATTAATGTATAACTACCAAAAGAAGCGCTAATGTCATATGAAATTGAGTCTTCACAGGGAGGACAAGTATAATCTTGTAAGAGAATTCCCTTAGCTAGAAAAAAGAACATGCAAGAAGGTACGGAAGAAGAAATAGCCTGTAAACAAGAGGGACACAGAGACCTAGCAATGATCCACTGTCGGATGCATAGAATCATTAAACACCATTACAGATTAATTAACTTCTCTTTCGTGTAAATCATCTATTAATCCATGGAAAAAAACCAACCCCCATCAGGAAGTTCCTAGCCTAAGTGCACATACAAATATGCTCAAAACAATAATACAATTTAACCGATTTTTTCAAAAACCAAGCACAGGCATGTGCCTCATTGCCTATTCATATGTACCTCACTGATTACTTCATTAACCATTTGTTTTGCAGCCTCAATCTGATCACTTGATCCGTCTATCTGTACAGTCCTCTCTGTTGATGTATCACCAGGGGGCAAGTGTAGTGGTATCACCTGATACAATGTGCAACGTATTCAGAAGATTATAATCTAGAAACATTTTATTTATGTATTACTCGAGTGAAAGAGGATACAGTAGAACTTCATAGAGAAATAAAAGCATAAAGCACCATAAAAGGATAAACAGAAGTCAATTTGTCAGCAATATAAAAATTCAATGTCAAACACCTCAAGAAAAGAAAAGACAATTGTCTTGTTCTTTTTATCATATGCCATTTTCATTGTGGCTGCCGTTTATATGATGTAAGAAGATAAGTGATTGTGAGTCCCATTCACTTAAGTGAGGAGAAAGAAAAATGGTTATATGATCCTAAAAATACTGTGCATTTGGAAAGTTCCATAGAAAAGAAATATCTCAATTTTTATTTATCACCAAAAACCCAGATAGAAGAACCAGGCAAACAAGTACATTAAATTCCCGCTCCCCAAAAAGATCACAAGCGGTTATTACTGAAGTGCACATGCTCTGAATTTAGAGTTCTTGAAAGATTCAGCCATACGAAATGAGTTTTTCTGGTTAGCTTGCTAGAGTTGACAGAATGTTCCATAGACATTCATCATCAAGTAGGAACCACCATGGGCCTTTTTTATTAATGGCAGTTGCAAGTTTTATCATGGTTCTATAAAACAATCAAGGTGTAAACTCATGGCGTGCCTCAAGGCGAGGCGGTCCAAAACCATTTATGAGGCTACGCCTATGTTGCTGGGATTGAGATGTACGTCTCACATGGATGAGACACAATACAAGACGTACTGAGGCATACATGTGACGTTAGCAACTTTCGAGCCAGTAACTTGGTATTTAAAGCAAATGAGAAGGGTATGAATGTTAATAGGCTTACACCAGCTTTTAGTAAAGAATGAAACATGTATGCAAAAAAACCAAACACAAATATCGTCTCTAGTAGTCGCAAATACTTGCATCTCCAACCTAGAAGTAGAAAAATGATTGCAGACGCCGATAAAAAGAAATGTGAAGAAAGAAGTAATACAAAAAAATGAGTGTGTCGAGCAGAAGAGATGGCTTGATGTTGATACCTTGCTAAGACCCCACTTACTAGATATCTACTTAATAAGATAAACACCAACATCTGACCCCAGCATTTAGCTCATTAAAACCAAAACAAACGCCACCTTTGCTAACCATGACTAGACTAAAACGAACACATCCAAACACATACTTAATGAATTTAGAATGTTTCCAAGATTTATAACTAGAAACATTAAGACTTCTTATGACTTCGATACTTCGATATGGAATTAAGTGTGGTGATTTTTAGTATAAATTTTGTTATGTTTTTTTGTTATTTTTTTTGTTTTGATTTTATTGTCAGGGCATACACCTCGAAGCTTGCAATACCAAAGAAAAACCTTGAGTTTTATAGTGCGTAAACCATTCCAAATCATGTTACCGTCCACAAGGTGAACATATTAAACTACCAGCACACGTCATTTTTCATATCCCTTTATAGAATAAAGTGTTATAATTCTGAGGTCATACCACAATGCCACGTATCACTGAAACCAAATTAAAATAGTTAAGAATTGAATATACCTGAATACGAGCTCCTGTACTGGCTTGCATGTTTTTTATGGTCTCACCCCCTTTACCAATAACAAGACCAACCTGTAAGCATATCCAAATTACACAATGTCATTTATACAGTTCAATGCCACCTGGAACAATTCCCAACAAGCTTAATTACATCTGAACATATATAATAGTATAAGACCTTGTTGTTTGGAACTTGCATCACGAACTGTTCGGCCCCACCTGGCTGACCACTCACCCTTCGAGAAACAATACCAGAACCTCCTGACTCAGCCTGTTTCAAATAGCACATAAGTTTGGGCATCTAAATGAACAAGTGCTTGCCAAAAGCATGATACAAGATAGTAACAGAAAAGCCCACAAGCACAGATACATAAAAATAGCATCAAAGATAAATGACAGAAGAAACATAATTGACAGGCAGATGACTTCATAATATCATAATTAGAAACTCAAAACACTAGCATTACCATGAAGGACAACTAAATACATACCTCAGCAAGCACATCTTTAATCAACTGCTCGGCCTTTGCTATAGATTCTGCAGAGCCTGTCAGCTCAACTTCTCTAGTAAGCGAATGTGGGTCTGCATCCATATCCCTGGTAACCTGGATCTTTGCTCCAGATTGCAGCTGAAGGTACTTTATAGTTTCCCCAGCTTTTCCAATAATAACACCAACCCTGCCATTTGGTATCTCAATTTTTTTGCTTGGGTTTCCATAGCCATAAGAAGAAGGCACCGAAGGAGCAGTATTCAACATGGGCTTCTGTCCTAGATCTGCATTCATTAGAAGATGGATCCATAAGATATAATCCATGTGAGCAATTATAAACATTCACAAAACCATAAAAGCAGGGCACTTGACATTTCATTGAAAACTCTATTGAGAAGAAGCAGTGGTTAACATTGGCCAATGTGATAGATCTGCATTCATTTAAATATGAACCTGGAAGAGCAATCTAACTGAACAGTCACAACATACTTGAAGAACCGAAGAAGCGGGGTGTTTCATTTGCTTCATCAAAAACTCAAAACAGAAGACACAGCATTGAAGTGAACTCAAATAGAAAAGAAACAAGAACTGTTCTATCTTATGAATATATGAAAACATTACCATGTCTTCTTCTAAAATCTATCTAAGCAACCAAAAGCAAACGTAAAAAAACAATGATCAAAACCTACATATGGAACATGATGAACAGATGAATCATAGGAAGGGTTTTAAGCCCAAATACTTGCAAAAGTATAAATTAACCACACTATCAGAAAACAAGAACTACAAATGCGATCCCATACTACTTGGTAATAGATGAAACTAGTAACCATATTCAATATACAACAGCACCATTTGTCGTATAGCCTAGCTATAAGTTTACGTACTGTGTCATTTCTAATGTCAAATAACTTGCAAAAATTTAAGTCGAAAACGTAATAGTTTTGAAACTTTAAAATGACACATCCTTGATTTTAAACTCGCAGGTTATACAATTTGTGGTACTTGCTCACACTATGCGCGAACGGCTGAGAGTTAGTACAAAATAAAGCCAAAACCAAAGTGATACGTATCAACTTGTCCAATACAACACAACACGGCCTATCTATTCAACCCCTGTGTTGAGAGCTAAGAATAAGCAAAACATAAATATCAGTCAAAAATTCTGTTAAAAAAATAACGATAACAAAAGATTCACGATTGAACCAGTAGTACCAGAGCTGAAGTCTCTGTTATCATTAGAATCAAAACCTCCGCCACCATTCTCGAACTTAGGGCGCTTGGCCTCGGCGTTGTTAAAGAGACGAGCTGCGATCTCCTGTGCCCTCTGTTTAGCAAGTTGGATCTCGTCCATGGGGGGAGGCACGCTGTTGTAAGAGGGAGCGGAATCAGGAGAGAGAGAAGGAGCGGAGAATCCAGTGAGGCGGCGGGCAGAAGAGGGCGGAGGTGGAGCTGTGGAGTCATCATACTTGCGTTTGGTGGTGGTGGCGGAGTCGCCGCCGGACTGGTAGTGTGCCTCGTCAGCCATTTGTGAGGAAAACCCTAGAGGGAGAGAAGGGGTGGAATTTTATTGGAATAAATAAAGTTACCGCCTTCAACTCAAATATATGGTACGGAATTATTTTCCCAATTTGGTAAATAAATAATAAGTTTTTAACAATTTTGCTCCTTTGTTTTTTTAATTACACTTTTGATGATTTTTTATTAGACTAAAATTTTTTTAAAAAATATTTTTTTGAATGAGAAAATTATTTTAAATAATTAAGTTTTGGAATTATTTTTTAAATAAAAAAATCATTAAATTTTTTTATTTTGAATGATTAAGTTCCTAAATATTTTTTGGATAAATAAAGCATCAAACTTCTAAAAATTAGTTAGCTCCATATTTTACTTTAAATAAGCTACCTGTAATTGACTATGAAGGTTTTAAAGTAAAAATAAATTTAAATTAGTTTTACCGTTTCCAAAATCTACACCATTAAAACCCCTCGCAAACAATAGTATTGATACCCATCGCCACTCTACATTGCCCCAACGTTGTTCATTCTCCATATTGTCTAACACAAAGTTGGCTCTTGTCATCAGTCTCTCACTTTTTAATCTATTTTTTTATTTGTTATAAGAGGGAGAATCAAACGATAATCGGTTACATATAGCTTACTTGGGTCAAAAATATATAAGTAACCAATTTCTAGAAGTTCGATGGTTTAATTTATAAAAAAATGTTCAGAGACTTAATCATTCAAAATTAGAAAGTTTAATAGTTTTTTCATTCAAAAAAATGTTCGAAGACTTAATCATTCAAAATGAAAAAGTTTAATGGTTTTTTTATTCGAAAAAAATAATTTTGTGACTTGATTATTTAAAATTGAATAGTTAGTTGATTTTTTATGAAATTTTTTCCCTTGTATTTATGACTTCGTTTCTCTTTTGGTTCGTGTGACTAACGATTGTTGATAGGATAACTTGAGGGCATTTTGTTATATTAAGAGTGAATTATATTTTTGGTCTTTTATCTATACCTGTTTTTTAGTTTTCGTCCCTCGAATTTGTAAAGTTTACTTTTGGTCAAAAATCATGTTTTGGAGCCCAAACTGGTCCCTCCCACTAACATCGTTAGATGGAGCTTCGTTAACCCTATCATAGTATCATGTGCCCCTCACGTGGGGGCATTTTATTTCTTTTCTTTTTTCTTGTTAAAAATAAATTTGCTTTTGATATTTTATATTACTAGTTGGATACTCGCACAATGCGGCGGGATGTCAATGTTTTTTGTAAATTGAAGGTATGACGTTTATGATCATTATAAACTTCAAATTTTATTACGGTTGATTGACCGAAGATTTGAAAAGAGAATTGCACGATTGACGGATTTCCAAACACACATCAATTGTTATTCTTATATTGTTTAATAATGATTTTCACTTAATGCAACTCATGATCAACAAAAAAAAAACCAAAATTCATGTTTAAACAAAACGGAGATATAATCATCTAAAATAATATAAATCGACACATACAGAGTATGAGATGATACCACTTAAAGCATCCATATGTAGATATACCCTGTAAGAAATGTCTTATGATTATAATAGATACATACCAAGCGTAGTTGTAAAAAAATGTGTAATAATAAGTACTCGTTTGTACCTTATTAATCGTGTAAAACTTCTTGATATGTAGACTCCGTCACGATTGAATTTTTTGGGAGGCTTTACTACCTTTGTATTTTCACATGATGTCCCTCTTGATAACGCCACATAAAGTTGTCCGTGAGAGAATACTGATTTTGGTAGATACACACCTACATTATGAATGGTCTGTCCTTGAGCTTTATTGATTGTCATAGAAAAGCTAAGCCGAACTGGAAACTGTTTTCTCTTCAGTTTGAAGGGGGACATGTTATCTTCAGATGGACAAAGAGGAATTCTCAGCAAAAATACTCTTTTTCTAGTATGCTGACCAACAGCTATTTCTACATCGATTATGTTCTGTTGAAAACCTCTACATATCAATCTGGTGCCATTGCATAAGCCATTAGAGAGATCAATATTCTGCAATAGTATTATTGGGATCCAATTTTGAGCCGGAGGTAATGCGGGGGGAAGCCACTGACAGTTAGCGAGTTTAAGAACTCCATTGGATATAAGTTATTTCTGTCATCTTCGGCTTCATCGAAACTATAGTAAACTTTTTCATCGCCGCAGAATCTATCAATCAACTGATCATTAATCTCACTGACATTCTCATTTTTTGTTCAAAATATCGCCCTTGAAATAATATAGTTTGAATCTGTTCTGTTGATTTGTAGAGATGAATATATTGCGTCAATCAAATCATGCTTTGAATTATCTTTATCAGTATAGGCAATGGCCATGTCATCGGGAATACATATAAAGCTTTCTTCCGTCATTTCTTCATCTCCATCACCCACTCGTAATAGAAAATCTAAAAGCCATGGATCACTTCGTGCTCTCATATTGAGAGTTAAACGTATTTTTTTAATTGAAGACCAAAGAGGTGACATTCGTAGGCTTGAATCTACAATCTGTGCTCGGGTTCCATATCTCACGACCGGTAAAACCTGTCTAAAATCACCTCCCATAACCATTATTTTTCCCCCGAATGGTAGTGTCACCCCTGTGATGTCTTGCATTGTTCGATCAAGAGCATCCACCGCCTGCCTCTTAGCCATTGACGTTTCGTCCCAAATGATTAATTTTGCATCACGTAGCAATTGAGCAGTCCCGTTTTGTTTTTTTATGTTGCACATGGAGTTATTATCAAGATTAAGGGGAATTTTAAATCGGGAGTGAGTTGTTCTCCCCCCAGACATATTATTAGTTGCAACACTTGAAGAAGCAGTGGTAAGAGCAATGAGACCACGAGAACGAATGTTGGCAAGCAATGTTTTGTACAAATACATTTTTCCAGTCCCCCCTAGACTATCTATGAAGAACACTCCTGAACGATCATCGTCTACGTGCTTCATGATCTCATCGTATGCGTATTTTTGGTCGAAATTAAGGGAGTCTTGGGCACGTAAATGTTCTTCTTCCACAACTATGGAGTATTCCTCTTGTACCTCACGAAAACTTCCAAATTGTAAGTTRGTATCTACATTTATCTTTGGAAGATCGAAATCATCAAGATTTTTACCCATAGATTGTAGAAAGCTTGTGATGTCAGTTAGGACCATATCCCGAACTGGGTCAACACTTTCGCATTGTCGTCTATAATCTTTTGAAAGTGAATCGTAATGTTGATCTGGCAACTTGCGAACATCTCCTGGCTCACAATAAATTAATATTGTCGCAAATAGCCTCCTTAGAGCTTTGGAAAACTGAAATAAAGAAGCCTCTGCAAGACATTGTGATAAGTTATCGTTTGTCTCTATTAAGCCTCTCTCAAGTGCTACTTTCCGGAATGTCGGGTATAATATGCCATTGACTGTGAATAGATCTTTAAAAGATGTAGGCCCACTAATATGAGATAAAAGTAGGCGTAGGTAGTACTGCTCTCCTTCAGCGGGATTAGCATAAATCAATTGTCCTATAATTGATCCTTGTTTTCTCTGATTCCAACGACGTGCTCGCATTCCATGTGTAATGTTTTGGAAAGTCTTTATATAAATGTTGTCTTGCACTCTTGTCTTCTTTATTTTTGTCGAAAAATGCAGTCAACATTGTTCATTTACCACTCTCTCTAGCAACAATATCTGTCATTATATCATCTTCTTTGAACCTAACCATCTGCTTATTAGGAAGATGGATTTGCAAAGCCATCACATAAGGTTGAATTTGAGAAAGCGCAAAGCTAAAAGTCCGCCACATTGCCTCCAGAGGGAGACATAACACGCATCTTGAAACCTTTTAATCTTACTAATAACACTTTGTCCTTCGTCTGGATCTATATGCATAACTTGTTTATCATGACCCTTGTAAATATATTTGAAGAGATATTTCACAAATGTTATACTTGAGTAAGCCTCAACATTAGTTGAACATCATTAACAATTTTCGGTTATACGGGACAACCCATCTATTATTCAGTGTATTTCCCCGTACATTCACATCTCTTCCAATATTTCTCCTCCAGTATAACGGATATGAGTTCTCAGCTTGTGATGTCTTATTGTTGAATTGTCTAGGATATCTAAAATGACATATTTTTGGCTCACCTTGCATGCAAGGACTGGACGATCGTAAATGACCGCAAGGACCATGCATCATGTGTTGGACAACCAACTGGTGAATTTCAGGATACTTTGTTGGGTCAGAAATTTCAGCACATACAATCTTGTCGTAATGATCTGGATTGGTCATTTTGTCATCAGGTCTCATTATCATGGGGAAATTTGCATGTGGCAATTCACGCTTCTGAAACTCGATGACATAAACATATGCCTTTACAGTGCCGAGGATCTTCTTTTGGAAGAGTTGGTCTTTGAGATCCTCTAATTTGGCACAAAAAGTTTCTTGTAACAAGGTCCAGTCGATCTTGTGCAATCTAACCGAGCAATAGCTCTTTAAGGATTTATGGCCATTTTGGATTACACGTCATTGTATGGAATATATCGGGTTTCCCGTCATCTTGAACTAAAGCCATAGCATCCAAAAATCATCGCTGCATGTCACGTGGGCCTCCTATAAAACTTGTAGGAAACACAACTCGTTGTCCAACTCTACTTGGTTGAACATCACTGGCATTAACGCAATCCACAATGCCTTGATATAAATTCGCTCTTATCTTGGTTTGGTTAAGTTCACAGAAAATGCAAATGTGAAGTCTTGATCTTGATGTAGGTATCTACCACGAATTGTTGTAGTAATCTTCCCCACAATAGAATAACATTATCGTTTGAACGGGTCTGGAACTTGTAACAATAGTATTCCCGCATAGTTACAGTATTTCAACCCCTTCTTGCATAAGTCTCTATGTAATGTTTTGAAACATTTAAACTAATGATATGTATGCTTTCAAAACTAATTAGTTACTTTATATAATATATTAACATATGCGATAGAATTTGTACATTTAG